CTATCCCCTGGCTCACTCTCCAGATGATCCCAACAGCAAGAATTAGAGGTGGGCAGGGGCTGGGGAGGCAAGCTGAGACCAGGAGCCAAAAACTCCCCTGGAGAGGGTGGCAAAGACCCATACTTCCTTCTGCTGCCTCACAGATGAGTTAGCAGGGAACTGGGTCCAAAGTGCAATCGCTGGGCCCAGCACAGTAGCCTAGTGGCTAAAGTTCTTGACTTGTTTGTGCTGGGATCCCATATGAGCCCCCACCCAGCTGAAGGCCCCCCAGCTCACTGTGAGCTGGGCCCCCACCCAGCTGAAGGTCCCCCAAACTCACTGTGAGCTGGGCCCCCACCCAGCTGAAGGTCCCCCCAAACTCACTGTGAGCTGGGCCCCCACCCAGCTGAAGCCCCCCCATAACTCACTGTGAGTTGGGCCCCCACCCAGCTGAAGCCCCCCATAACTCACTGTGAGCTGGGCCCCCACCCAGCTGAAGCCCCCCCAGCTCACTGTGAGCTGGGCCCCCACCCAGCTGAAGCCCCCCCAGCTCACTGTGAGCTGGGCCCCCACCCAGCTGAAGCCCCCCCCCAGCTCACTGTGAGCTGGGCTGCAAGAGGCGACCATGGGGGCCTCCACAGTGCACTCCAACAATGAGAGCAAGTTCTCGGGGAAGTGGGGGCAAGGGGCTGCTGCTGGCCTCGCCCCGAGCCCTTTCTTCCCTTCACCTGGGCAGGGAACTCAGGGCTGGGCGCTTTCCTGAGCCCCTGGTGTGGCCCAGATGTGAGCAAACAGCCCGGTCTAAGGAATCAAAACTACAAGCCGCTCACCCGCCCTGCCGCTGGCCAGCCTGATGCAAACTGGGAAGGTGGCTCGGGGTGCCTACACACACACAGAACACAACTGCCCAGGCTGGCCCTTGCAGCCTTGTAATTTGACTGATTGTCAACATCTGGGGCCTGATGACTGTGCCTGGGACTGATAATCCAGGAAGGCCCCCTCGTCCAGGGCCCCAGCCCAGGAACCATCAGCCTTCATTACAGGCAAATTGCAGGACCAGCAGCCCACATGGGCCGCTTTGTTCATGTGGTTTGTTGAGTTCAGTAGATCTTGAGCCTATCTTGGGGTGGGGTGGACACACTCAGGGAGGGCCAGGCCTCATCCGGGCATGGGGCGGGTGGCTCAGCACAGGCTGTCAGGGCTGCCAAGCAGCAAGAGAGTCCAGGGCTGTAGCTGTGAAGGTGCTTGCCCTCTGCCGCACTTTGAGTGTTTCTTGAAAGAGTGGGGGCACAGGAGACCCTGCTTAGAAGGGCAGCAACCCCCAAGTTATCAGACGCCAGCAAGGGGCACTGCCCACAGCCCACTCCCAGCACAGCAAGCCCCGTCTCCCAGGCCCATGCAGCCCCTATTTGGGGGGTCAACTTGCCTGTGGGGGCTTGGGTGTTGAGTTGGCCTGGAAGAGGATGCATGAGAGAGACCTGAGACTTGCAGGCCAATTGTCAGCGTGGTCTCTGCTTTATATGTGAGGACAGCCCAGTCCTTTTTTGACGGCACCAGTGCAGTATGCCAGAGGCAGTCCTGCCTGGCCAGTGTCCAGGGCATCTGGCCACCCGGCTTTGCCTCTTCTTGCACATGTGGAAGGAGCAGCTCAAGGCAGAAGCAGGGCTTGCAAACAGCTGGGAGGCGGGGAGGAAGCTGGGCAGAAGGCATTTAAAAACCTCGACAGGGTTGGGGATTCCAAAGCTTTGATCAGAGCATGGCAGGACCCTGGCTGGTGTGGGACACTGCAGGCGTGGAGCCTGGAGGAGAAGCAGAGAAGGGTCTGGAGCCCAGCCCCAGCCCTGGCCACTGCCTCAGGCCCCTAGGCTTACCGCTGCAGTTACAGGAGAGGCAGGGGCAGCTGGCGGGCCACACTCCATTGCCGGGACAAGACAGGGGTGCTAAAGAGGTAAGACCCTCACGCTTATTGCAAGGACAAGCAGCTGCCACCTTGCAGCTCTGCCTCTCAGGCGGACACGACCTGGGCCGGCCCTGCCGTGCCCTGCCCTGTCTTGTCCTGCCCTGGTACAGCCTGGCCTGGCCCCACCCTTGACTGCCCTTAGCTTCCTTCATGCCTGTAACAGGTCCTGCCCTGCCCTGTGCAGCCTGGCCTGGCCCCACCCTTATCTGCCCTTGGCTTCCCTCACTCCTGTCCCAGGCCCTGCTGCACACAAGTTCCCAGAGCCAAGCTTGGCCCTTCTCAGCTCACAGATCCGCAACAGGCCACCAGTTTAGGAAAGGCAGGGCATAGAGTACATGGGGGCAGGGCCTGACCTCCCAAGGTTCCCAGCCCACAACCCACAGCCTGTCTCCAAGGACGAGGGGCTGAGGGTGCAGAACCCTGACCCCCAAGCCAGGCTGTTCCCTTCTCTGCCTGTCCCTGGGGACCCCTCTTTGGGGACTCCCCGAGACCACCCTCTTGCCAGTTGCCCTTCTGAGGGTCAGCCGGTGACATCGCTGGTAAATCTGGGGACTCCGAAGACAGCATTCCTGCCCAGGAGGCATCAGAGGTGAACCGAGAGCCACCCCTCAGACCACGGTCCCTGCTGCCAGCTGTGCCTGAGGATGGTGCCCAGCACACAGCTGTGTGGGTCCTGGTGCCTGCTGGACACCTGCTCAGGGCCAGCCACACTGGGAGGTGCCGGGATGGGTCGGCTTCCGCATCGCTCACATTGCGCTCTCTGCCTGTAGGTGGAGCTCTAAACTCCTCTCAGGGTTAGGCTGCAGCTCTGCCGTCCCAAATACAAGCAGGGCATCTGCTGGAAAAACCGTTGCTCCCAGGGCTCCTGGCGCATCAGGCAGGTCCTGGGGGCTCGAGAACCCACCAAGGGATCAGCCAGAGCCTGCTACAGGACACTCCCACAGGCACCTGGGGACCAAGGTCAAGGGGGCAGCCCAGTTCCTGATGCTGCACACCACCTGGCATACACTCCCGGAACCGAACCAGGACCGGAGCCACAGCAAGGGGCCAGACACCCATCTTAGCCACAGGGAGGGCTCAGCCAGGGTCACAGTGCACAGCAAGGAGACTGCTCAGGCTGGGCTTGGTGGGGGGTCGGGCTTTGACTCAACATCAGCTCCACTCAGGGTCACCAGCAGAAAAGTCTGAGCTGTGTTCCAGAAAGTTCTAGAAAGCTCTCCAGGGCTGTGTATGGGGGAGGCCCCATGTCTTCTTAGGCCATGGACTGATGTCTGGGTGGTCTGGCTGCAGGGTTCACTGCGTCCTTCTTCCGCACACATTAAAAAGAAAAGACCCATATTTAGCCGTACCTTAGTCTCGTAATTTGGGCTTTCATCACGGTTTTTTGTAGTCCATGCTGTTTGTCCTGTGTTTGAGCTCAGCTCAGTGGGACCCACAGAGCCACCCACCCTGGAGCTGGTAGCCAGAGGACAGAGTGGCAGGAGGCTGTCCCCACGGAGCAGGACAGAGTGGCAGGAGGCTGTCCCCACGGAGCAGAAACAGGGAGTGGGGCCAGGCGAGGCCTTCCCAGCAGGCCTGAGTGTGGCATCATACAGCACCAGGGCTGCAGTCCTGATCCTGGGGCGGGCCCCTCTCCCTGGCTGGACCCGCTCCCTACTTCTCAGGGCTGCTGCAGTGACAAGACACCCAGGAGCCACCCAGCACAGACCTGGGCCCCAAGCGTGCATGAGCGCCAGAGGCCCAGGCTCAGAGCAGGATCCATGGACTCCAGGGACTCAAGGCCCCAGAGGTCTAGGGGCCTGAGAGAGGTTGAGGCAGAGCAGGGCCTAAGAGAGTGGGCTGCCAAAAGGAGAAGTGGGCCTGTGAGCTCAGGCTCCTGGTTAAGGGCCTGGTGCAGCCCCAGCCGTCACAGCCACTTGGTCAATAACCAGTGGATGGAAGATTTCTCTCTCTCTCTGTAACTCCGTCTCTCCAACAAATCAATCTTTTTCTTAAATGTCAGATTCTGCACCATTTTGGATTTCTCACTCTCGGGTTGCAGGTGCCCCCCCAAAGTCCAAAACCTAGGGAGGGTTTAGGCTAGCAGGTAAGAGGCTCCCAGGCCAGATCGGAGCAGGCAGCTGCGGCTACTGGGGGTCAGTAGACACAGCCCATGGGGCCGGGTCCCTGCCTCCCAGTCAAAAGACCCAGACTGAACTCCTGGCTCCCAGCTTAGGCCTGGATAAGCCCCAGTCATTGTGGGAATTTAGGGAGTGTTAGGCGTGACAGAATATATGTCCAACAGGCCCCAGGGACAGGTGGGCTCACTGGGAAGGAGACAAGCCTGGACAGCATCGTGGAAGAAGAGGTACCTAAGCTGTCAGTGGATGAGGGTGGGCGAGGTGTGCCTGGCAGGGGAGCAGTGGGTTTGGTTTCAGCGAGCAAGCAAGCGGTCGGTTCTCATGGCTGGCAGACAGCAGGTAGCTGGGATCCCTCCATGCGCCCATGGGTAAAGATGACTCAGTGAGGCTCCGCTGGGTGGGCAACTGACAGGTGCCCAGGCGGGGTGGCCCTGCAGTGGCCGCTGACCCTCCACAGGCACCAGAGGCTCCGGGAGCCCTAGGTGTGTGGTGCTGAGCTCCACGCCTGCACTAGATGGCTTTCCTCAGCCTCCGCCCATCACGGCCACAGGTAGCCTGCCAGCTCCAATGGACAGTAATGCTCACGCATGAGCTGGCCTAAGCGAGGAGAAGAGAAGATGGGATGGGAGGATTCCCTCTGCCCTGGCTCTCCCTGTCTCACCTCTGCTTTCTTCTCTGCTGCTGGTTCTTTCCCAAGCCACACCAGGCCGCTCCAGGCTCCCCCATGAGTTGCCTGCCGAGGCCCCAGGGGTGAGATGGGTGGTGGTTGGAGAAGGCTGGGGGTGCTGTTATTGGGCAAGGGGGTGCTGGACAGTGGACCTCATACAGATGCCCTCTCTCCCCTGCCCCCCTTCCCCAGCCCCCCTTCCCCAGCCCACACTGCAGGGAGTGCGGTTCCCTACATAACCGTCCTTCTTCTCTCTCTCTTCCTCCTGTCCCAGGGACCACTGGGTCTGGACGGCAAGCCTGTAAGTAACGAAGGGCAGTTCTAGATGAGCCTGGGGAGCCAGGGGAGGGGCCGCTGGGAACCCCGCCTGGCATGGAGAGATGTGGTGGCCGTCAGACCGTGAGGTCTCAACACCTGAGTCCCTGCACACCCTCACCCCATGGGCGAGATGCCCAGGAAAGCACCAGCACAGATCCACAAGTAACTGGGTGTGGCTGGAGGGTGGCAAGCTGGCACCTGGGCTGGAAGGGGCTGACACCCTGAGACAGAGGGTGCTCATGCAAATGGGGTCTCTGCTCATCGACGGCCTTGTTGATTTCTTGTGGTCATCTGGACACGATGGGTGTTGGGCAACAAACCCCTGTGCCATGGGAGGGGTGACTTGACTAATACATGTGCCCTTCCCTCCGAGACAATCTCAGGGGACCCCCAAGACCCCCCCTTGCCCTCGCAGTAAGCACCAGGCTGTGGAGCTCGGCTGCCCTCCCACACGCCCCCCGCCCTCTGAGCCGTGCCACATCCAGCCTTGCGCACCTCACTCACTCACTCACTCACTCATGCCTCTGCTTTCTCTCCTTCCTTCTCAGGGACTTCCAGGCCCCAAAGGGGAAAAGGTGAGTGCCGGGGAAAACAGAGGATGCCAGGAACGTAGCACCAGGTGCTGACGGGAGGGCTCTGTTTCCCCATCTGTCAAGTGGGGTTCCTAGTGCTGCACCTGCTAAATCAGCTACCAGGCTCATGCCAGAATTCCATGGGCACCAACACACACCGAGATCTGAGGCAAGATATACCTAGAAAAACAGATCATCCAGTAGTGAGTCATGACAAGGAGGTGCTAGAAGAACATGGGGACCACAACGGTGACTGCTACTGCCCAGCACCCCTCGTTACAGACCCTCACAAGAAAGGCCACCCTGGTATCAGTCTCTGAAACTCAGGGCGGCCCCTGGAGGGCTGTGGCCCTCAAGTGTCTTACAAGACACAAAGAGACCTATGTGCTCCGCGGTGGGGTCAAGGGGAGAGGGGACCAGGGTAGCCACTGGGTGGCAGGACCAACTGCAGGCTCCCAGGATGTGGCTGGGCCACCCTGGAATTTGGAAAGGGGGACATGAGAACCACAGGAGGAGACTCTGTGATGGAACCACGTAAAGGTCAGTGCAGGTCAGGGCTGCGGGCCATCATCAGTGCCCAGGGAGCTATAGGACACTGCAGGGCTTCGTCTGCATTTCAGCTGCACCACCGACTAGGCGGCCTCGGCCTAGTCAGGGTCCCCATCCATACATCAAAGCCAATCTCTGAGTCCAGGAAAGATGGCAGGAATTCACAGCCAAGACACCCTCCGTTGATGACGAGGCCACAGCTGCCTGCTGGTTCCGGGTTTCACACAAATCATTTGAGCCAGGGCCCTTGAGCAGGACAAATGGGCATCCTGGTGTCTGGCAAAATGCAAGAGCCACAGCTTCAGAAACGATTTGAAATAAGATCATCGTCATCACCCCTTACTGTTAGAAGGTTCAGAAGTGCAAGCGTTCAGGGAGCAGCTGTTTGTTCACAGGCACCGTCTCCCCGGGCTGGCCATGGACAAGGGAACCTCCATTGCAGGCCCGGATCTGTGGGAGATGTGACCTTGGATGGTGGGTCACTCGGTGTCCCATTTCTCAGAAACGAAACTAAAGTGCAGCTTGCCCGTTATTTCTGCTAGTGTGAGGTTGGGCCATGTATGGAAGGCGCTGGGTGCATAGGTGAAAGGCAGCAGGCAGCTCAATGCTTACCGCCTTCGTGTGTTTTGTTCCCAGGGAGTGCCAGGAGACTTCGGCCCTCGGGTAAGGACTGGGCATTGTCCCCTTGCTAACCCATGGTATGTGTTCCATGCAAGTCTGAGAAATACATCCCCCAGGTCTTGTGGATCCCGGCTAGCAGGGGGCCAAGGCAGGGGCTCTGGGGTCACACAGCAGCTGCAGGAGCACCCATCTCACCGCGGTTGCGAGCAGGAACTGGGTGCAGGCTGAGTTCCCCGGGGACAGAGGTGGAGGGCAGGGCCACACAGAGCTAGGAAGACTTCCGGGTCTGCTGAGAAAGGTCCTCCTGGGTCAGCCTGCTGTCAGGGCATGGAGGCAGGGTCTATGGGAGCTGCTCATCCTTGGGATACCTGCTCCTGGAGAGACTGGAATCCTCCAGCCTGTGGGTTCCCTGGGATCTGCAATGATCGCTCACAGTCCCCAGCTGACAGGGACTCCCACATGCTTGCAAGCCAAGACTCCAGGGCCAGAAACCCCGGTGACAAGACCCTCCTGTGCTCAGCAGGGCAGCGCCTACATGCGGCTCCCCGCGTTGGCTGGGGCTTCTTGCAGCATAGCTGCTTCCACCAGCAGCAGGGCAAGGGGCAGGAAGTGGGACTGTCTGAGGAGGGGCAAAGGAGACCCCAGCTCTTGACGGGAGCAGGGGGGCAGCAAGGTCAGAGGGGGAAGTTTAAGGCCATCTTGAGAGTCAGCTACCTTTCCAGGGTGGGCTCAGTGGCTCCGGAAATATTCCTGGGGTTTTAAGTCCCCCACCTGCCCCGCTAACCACTCCATTGTCTACTGACCAGATGGTTTTCCCATGGCTCAGTCCAGGCTTTGTACGCGGCGACCACCACGTGTACAATCTCCGTGTCCTCAAGGTAGATGGCACAAGCGTGCAGCCCAAGCCTGCTGGTGTGTCGTGTGCCATGCTCACTGTCCCCACCCCTGCATCACCAGGGTCAGACCTCAGCCACCCAGGCCCTGGAGGGGTGGGGGTGGGCACCTCCCCTGGTCTCTGCTCCCGTGCAAGTCGCTTCATCTGCCTGGAGCAGAGACCAGGTTGGTGCTCCCCAGTTGCAGCCCCAGAGCTGTGAGAGGAGCGCTGAGGGCGAGGAGGGGTCCCCGAGCGTGCCTGGGCCAACACAGAGGGAAACAGGCGTGGCTACCCTTTCAGCAGCACAGCGAGGGACCATGCCATGCTGTCCCCCCATCTTTCCTTCCACCAGGACCCTGGCCGTGCCAACCCCATCAGGGGATCCAGAGGGTGGACATGGAGAGCCTCCATTAGTATTTGTAATTGGGAAAACAGGATGGTTTTGCCAGAGACACAAGTTATTTTAAAGCAGGAGGGAGTCTGTGGCCACCAGAGGAGGTTCAGCCTCACCAAGTCCCACACCCCTTCCCCCCAACCTCCACATCTGGAAAATGGGACAGTAACAGCCCCTGTCAGCTTGTCAGAGGCCCAAGTAAGAGCCTCTCCTGGGAATCCTCTCCAGTGCTGGGCCCACAGCGTTTAGTCGCAAGTAGGTGGGCAGCTGCTGGCATTGTGACCAGGCATACCCACTTCCTGAGCCCTGTGCTCATGCTGGGTGGGTCCCTCTGGGGCAGCCAGGAGGGGCCAGTCACATGGTGCCCTGCCCTTCTCCCAGGTGGGGCCCCTGAGGTCTGACCTGGCACTAACACCACTCCAAGGCTTGGGGATTTGACGTTGTACAGGAAGGGCTGTGACCCTGCCCTCCCATTTTATAGCTCTGTTGAGAGATGGTTGTAGTCTCCCCTGCCGTTTCCCTAGGCAACGCCCCGAGGGGACCTGTATCCAGTGGTGATGCTGTGCCTCGTTGTGGCACAGTCCCACAAAGGAGACCAACCTGACTCGGTATCGGGTACCCCTGGCTTCCCGCACCCTCTTGTGACTGTTCTGTGCAGTGGCGTGTACACCAGGGTGAGCACCTCTCAGAGCCCCCCGAGGAAGGCTGCGATGGCCTCCTGCCCACCTGCCGCCTGCTGAGCCCAGCGCCCGGGCGATCACCACCCTGCTCTCCATCTCTCTAACTTTGTCACTCACGGTTGTGTGACATTGTGTGCCTGGGTGTGACCTCTCAGGGTGCCTGCCCACCCTTGCATGTGTCCGTGTCTTGTCCTCTGTTCCTTGCTGGGGAGTGATTGGTTAGCCCATCCCAGCTAACCATTCGCCTCTGGGTGGTTTCTAGTTGGAAGTGCTGACTAACGCGGCAGCAGTGAACACGCAGGCTCAGGCTACTGTGGGGACCAACACACCTCTGCATTGGGTGCCCGGGGTGTCCCTCCCTGGAAGGGAGCAGGAGCTGAGCACCTGGGAAGGTCTCCCAGGGGACACCCCAGGCTCCCTTCTAGAAACAAGAGCGCCAGAGTGCGCCATCTCTCATGCCAACACTGGATCAGCTCCAGGGCCCTATCAGCTCTCAAGGCTGCCCGCAGCAAACAGGGACTCAGCAGCCACAGAACCCTGCCCTCCAAGAGCTGCCCGTGTCAGGGGCAGGGAGCTCTCTGCGGGCTGGGAGCCTTTGCCCTAACCTCAGGGTCATGCCAGCCCCTTCTCTTTCAGGGAGACCAAGGACAAGCTGGAGCTGCTGGGCCTCCGGGTCCCCCTGGACCTCCCGGGGCCCGGGGCCCTCCTGGCGACACTGGGAGAGACGGTCCCCAGGGAGAACAAGGTCCAGCGGTAAGAAAAGGCGTGGCACTGGACAGCCGCCCCCCAAGACCAGCTGCTGTGCTCACCCAAACCCTGACCCCAGAGCCAGTCCCCAACCTCAGCCCCAAGTCACATCCTGTCCTTGACACCAAACCCAAACCCAACCCTAACGTTAACACTAACCCTGACCAGACCCTTGCCCCAGCCAAACCTGAGCTCGAACATAACCAGGCCCCTAAGCCTATCCAAACCTTGGTCCTGAGATCACATTGCAAATCCAGACTTAACAGACCCTAACCGTGATCCCTGCAGGCTTGGACCCCCCACTCAAAAGCCAACTTTAACCCCAAGTAGACTCTCAGACCCCAACCCTGAGTTAGGTTACAGTCTCCGTCCCAAGCCTGACCCTGAGACTCCTCGGTGGGCTCTTGCTTTGCGGCTGATGAGTGGCCCCAGCCTTTCCCTACCCTCCCTAGCCTCAGTCATCCTAACCCAAACCCAGTAGCCAGACCCCCGTCCCCAGCCCTGCCTGGCCCAAGCCACAGTGTGGGACCCCCCCCCAACATTCAGGACACTGACTCCAGGGCCCCTCTGGGGGGCAGGTGGTGGTCCAGCCCCTCCCTGGCCATTGGTGGGTGTGTAGCTCTCCAAGCCTCAGCTGTCTGACCTGCACAGGAGGGGCTGGGGAAGGTACGGGAGCTCGTGTCCATGGGCCCTCACATCCTCATCACTGCCTTCTGTGCCCCATCTGGGTCCCAAAGGAGAGCCTGGCCAGAACGGTGACACTGTCAGTACCCAGGGCACCTCCCACACACACCCCCAGACCTGGCTGCCAGCGGGGAATGGCTGGGCTGCGGCTCCCCCCCCACCCGGAGGAATGCCACACACCCCCCAAAGCCAGGAGCCTGCAGCCCACTGGGCAACTCCACAGCCACTAGAGCTGGGCAGCCAGCTGCTTCTCTAGGCTTGGAGTTAACCTTTACAGCCAAACTGACAAGTCAGACAGGCCCAGTGCCAAGTTCAGCGCTTTCTCTTCTCTTGTTCCAGGGCCCCAAGGGACCCCCAGGGCCTAAGGTGAGTGCCCCTCATTCCCTACCCCTTCCCCAGGCCTGGGCAGTAGAGTCAGGCTCAGATCCCACAAGCTAGTGGCAACATCTCCTGGCTCCTTCCCTCCTGGAGCAGCCCCAGGGCCTTCCCACAGGAGCTGGGGGCGGGGGGAGGGGGGGTTGAAGGAGAGCCTGGGGAGGGAGCAGCACCCAGAGGTGCTCCTGGGAGCAAGGATGCATTGGCTCCTCACCCCTGGCCTGCTCCCGCCACCTCCCACCTCCCTGCTTGCAAGGCCAGTGACGTGCGCAGGGTCACAGCTCAGGAGGGGAGTCCCAGCTGCCTGGCCTACGCCCACAGGCACCTTCTGAGGGGCTCCAGAACCTTTGGCTCATGGCAGCCGGGATTCCCCTTGCCCATGAGGAGCAAATGGCCCCTTTTGTACCCCCAGGGTGATCCCAGGACTCCTGAGAGCAAGATCAGGAAGTGCCCACCTGGCAGAGTCCTGAGGGCAGGGCCAGGGTCCCCAGCTGTGGGATACAGGGAAGGTGTGTTTCTCTTCCCCAGACCCCAGGCCTCACGATGGGTGGCTGCCCTGTCCTAACGCAACGTCATGCCTTCTGGCATTCTCCCACTCCTCAAGCACTAGGAATATGTGCCCACTTCCAGGCCTGGCGCTATGGCTCTCGAAGTGTGGCCCTAAGGCCAGCAGCAACAGCATCACAGGCGCTTACGAGAAATACAGATTCCAGGGCCCACCCAGGACTCTGAAAGCAGGGCCTAAGGACCCCTGACGGGCACTGACATGCACTCAGGCTTGGGCACCAGTCACCAAACTGGTGACAAATCATCCTCACCCTGCCACCCGGCCAGGCCCTTCCCTCTGCCCCATGCCATGCCCAACAACACTGCAGGTCCCCCACCACCACCCCTCCTCGGGGCCCCTGCTGCAGCAAGCCTCTGCCTGACCCCCTCCATCCCGTGTCCTCCTGTAGATGCTTTCCGAATGAATGAGTACACTCGCCTTTACCTGTCCATCCATTCTTGCTGAGGCTTGCCCAAAGCTGGCATTAAGCTGATAGGAGCAGGGGACAGAGGCCACTCTGACTCTGCTGTGTCCAGTACTGACAGGGACCCAGGGTGCTGGGGTGTGCTAAAGCGGAAGGACCACAAACACTTGGAGGCCTCCCGGTGTGTCTGCGATTCACCTGTTCTCTTCTCAGGGGGATGACGGGACGCCAAGTCAGCCTGGGCTCCCCGGACCCCCAGGGCCTAAGGTAGGTATGGGTACCTCTGCCAGAGACCCCTCAACCTCCTCTCTGGGCCTGGTGAAGCCCCTCACCATGGCAGGGTCTGACGTCTGGTACGGTAGGAAGGCGCGGGGCCCACTCACTAACAGCCCTGGCATATCATCCATTGTCCCATAGGGTGACCCCACTGTCTGCCCCGTGCCCTAGTCAGGGACTAAATATCATCTTATCTCTCGCCCTTATCCCCTGCTCCTGGAGACAGCTTGCCAAACCCCTACAGCCTTCCCCCTAATGTCTACCCAAACTCAAGACCAAGCTTGGAAGGTGAACACTGGGCTGGGAGTAGCCTGGAAGCCACAGCCAGCTCCGTCGGTGGGCTCAGCTGTGCTGGGCAGGTCCGCAGCCCCAGCCTGCCCAGGTGCTCACAGCAGATGTTTCCATTACAGGGTGAGCCAGGGAGCGTGGGACCCCGAGGAGAAAGCGGTGTGGACGGTGCTCCGGGACCAAAGGTGACGTTGGAGCACGTAGCTCCAGCACCAGCGAGGCATGGTCAGCCCATCTCCCCGGCAGGAGGGGAGAAATCATGTCCTTGTGAATTTGCCCCTTTGGGTGGGCTCTTCCTCGATGCACAGTTGGAAGCTGGCAAAGGACGGGAGGTGGTGCGTGTGGGTGGGTGACCAGGCCTGGGCTCGGCCCAATCTCTGGCTAACTGGCCCTCCATCCCAGGCCCTGCCACTGGCCAGCCGGTCCTGGAGGACTGTCCTCAGCGCTCCACCCTGAACCCCTCTGGGAATGGAGGGGTACTGGCGGTGAACATGTAACCCTCACTGCACCCATGTGTCTCCACAGGGGGAGCCCGGCCATGGAGGCGCCGCCGGAGCCACAGGGCCCCGGGTAAGCAGCACTTCCGGCCACCACCACCCCGCCCCCGTGGGCCCCAGGGAGACAGAATGCCAGGGGCTGCAACAGTCCCCACAAAGTCCCAAAGGGACCCAGAGAGCTACAGGAAGTGGGAGTCTTCTTGAAGGAGTTTTTCTTTGACATTCCTAATATGTGCTTGGGACAAAATGGTCTGCTACTACTGTATAAAATCAGAGTTCCCGCCCTCCCCAGGGATGTATACACCCTTCTAGACTTTTCTTTGTGTATTCAAGCCTGGGTCAGGTGTTAGGACTCTACCCATGGCGGGCGACCTTGACCTTTTTCCCAGCCCCCCCTCCCCAGCCCAGCTTGTACTGTCACAAGAACGCAGCTACCCCGGCCAGGCCCAGGCCTTTGCAAGCAGCCCCTGTCACTGGGGAAATGACCACGCAGGTTCCTGGGCGTTGGGCTGTGTTCTGGTCATGGATCCTGGATATGAATAGCAGCAGCCAAGGCTCAGGGCGGGAGCTCCGTGTTCATGACCTTCCCCCTGGTCTCCCAGCCAAAGCAGCCTGGCCTGGACGTGCAGGGAGGGACAGCAGCAGCGCGCATGCCTGCAGGCATGGGCACCTGCAGAGGTGGGCCCAGGTGTGGGCCTGTGTCCAGCAGGGAGTGGAGACGAGGACATGTGGCGTGGAGGTCAGCGGGGGAAGCACAGTTGCCTCTCAGAGGAGGGAAGGAGCCCACCCATCCCCTCATGGGATGGCACCCTATCAGACACAGCCCCTGTGCGGTGTGGGGGGCTCACGCACACAGAGGCCCCCTCACAGCCCTCTCCTGTACCTCACCCTTCCTTCTGCCTCAGGGTCCGCCAGGCCTCAAGGGCGAGCAGGGAGATACAGTGGTGATTGACTACGATGGCCGCATCCTGGATTCCCTGAAGGTATCGTAAGCCAGGACAGGGGACGGGAGGCACCCTCAGCAACCCTCTCCTGGAGGAGTCCCCTCCACTTCCTGTGCATCTGTGCACAATGGGCCGGAAGACTTAACACAATAGCAAGTGCACAGCACACCCAATGGGGACGTCAGTGCTGGGACCCGCACGGTGCCGACGCAGCTGCGGTGAACCTGCTCATATGGTCCTGAGCTCCCTGGAGGCCAAGGCAAAAAGGGAGCTCCCCAGCAGGGCAGGAGGCTGGGCATTTCCTGGCATTTAGGCCCACGGGTGCCCCTGGGAGCCTTCCCCTTAAGGAGCTGTGGCTGGAGGGCTGGACCTTCTAACCCTGCTGTGGGAACAGCAAGGCCGGCCCCCGGAGGACTTGCGTGGCCTCTGAGGCCTTGTCTAGTGACTGGCACACCTGGCACCCACCAGCCAAGGAGGTGCCAGCTGCTCACAGCTCCCTGGGGGAGATAAGAGACACATGTCAGTATCCAGACCAGCCTTGGCACCTGAGCTTCAACTACAGTTGTCTCCCGCAGGCCTCGGGGAAGTACAAGCTGGTGGTAACTATGGCCTGCCCCGGCTGCATGGTGTGGCATGGCATGGCACGGAGTGGTGTGGTGTGGGTGGCCCTGAGGGTGGGCACACATGGAGGAGGGTGGTTCAGACAGGCAGGCAGGCAGGGGATGCATCTTAGATGCCAGCTTGGGATGACAGCTCAGTGTGACGGGCAGGCAGGTCCTGAGCAAAGGGAGATCTATGGATCACAGTGAAAGAGGAACAGCACAGGCCAGTGGGCAGGGAGAGCGGCACAGGCCGGGGGTGGCAGGGAGCTCGCCAGAGAGGGCGGCACATGCCCGTGCCTGCACGAGGCTGAGCAGCACAGGAAAAAAAGCCACCTGGAAGGCCAGGCTGGGTGCACCTGTGAGAGGGGCATGAGCTTGGGGGATGTGGAGGGATGGGCCAACAGGCCGGCCTCAGCTGCACCTGTGAGAGCAGGGTCGGCAGGCGGCAGACAACAAAGCCAGAGGGCAGACAGGCCAGGCAGGTGTGGCAGCTGGCCACGGCTGGAGAGGCAGCTATTGGCTGGCCTTGAGCGTCTGCAAGGATTGAAGCTTCAGGAGACAGCAGGGAGCCCGCAGCAGGATCTTGAGCAAGCGTGTTGGGAAGGATGCGTACGTGAGGAAGACTGGATTCCAAAGGGAGGGGTCTCTGGGCTCTCCAGCTGGGGCACAAAACCAGGTGCCCCTCGTGAGGAGCCAGAGCCTCCCCTCCCCCAGGTGATGGGGACCATGAAAGCAACGTGCAGTGTGACCCAACCCAATTGAGTGGGATGTGGTGCTGGGGACACTTAACCCTGCTACAGCCGAGTTCCACAGGGCTTGGCCCCGGGGGACAAGGTCCTGTCCTAAGCACTAACGAGCCAACTTCTGCACACAGGGGCCTCCAGGGCCACAGGGGCCTCCAGGACCCCCAGGGATACCCGGAGCCAAGGTCAGTTACAGACTCCTGCCTCCAGGACACCACCCCCCCACCCTTGCCCCTCCTCCAGGGGACCCTCAGCTTCCCTCTTGCAGTCCTAGCCTTACTCCTGGGGATTCAGAGAAAGGGGTCTCCCTTCCTAACCCAGCAGAGCACCCCTCCTCCCAGGCCCCGCTACTCCCTGGGAGGTCCCCTTCATGCATTTAAGCTGTGACATCACAGCAGCCCCACCCACACCCAGAACCATTCCTGCGGTTGCACCTGCTAGTTTATGCATGCCTGCTTGTCTCAGGGTAAAGTCAGGCGAGGCTCGGGCCTGCCACCATTGCTCCTGGGTTCTGATGCCTAGAGCAAGTTCATGAGTACATTGAGCTTCAGCTTCCACTTCTGTCACATCTGGGGCTTACAGAACACAGCCACAGGCCACATCTCCCAGGAGGGGCACAGGAATCAAGGAGAGGAGACCCAGACCTGTGGCGTGGCCCTGGGAAGCCAGCTGCAAAGCAGTGGGCATGGCAGCCAGGGAAGCCGGGAAAGCCATCCCTCGGGCCATCAGACACAGGAAGGGCACAAGCACTGGTGATCCTCTGTTCCTTTCCAGGGCGAGCTCGGCCTGCCCGGTGCTCCCGGAGTCGATGGAGAGAAGGTCTGTGGGCTTTCCAGCTTGTGGGCAGTGCAGAGCGTGGTATCAGACAGCCTGAGTGTGTGCATGGGTGCCTGGGTGTTTGTGTGTGAGTCTGTGTGTGCCTGTGTATACCTGGGTGTGCCTGGGTGTGTTTGTGTGTGAACCTGTGTGTGCTTGCATATACCTGCGTGTGCCCGAGTGTGTTTGTGTGTGTGTGCCTGGGTGTGAGCCTGGGTGTGTGCCTGTGTTTGTGTGTGAGCCTGTGTGTGCCCATGTATGACCATCACTCTTGGCGTCTCCGGGTGTCTTGTCACTGCTGGTCCCCAGGATGGGCATCATGGGCTTAGTGAGAGAAGGCAGCACTTGGAAGGGTATTTGGGGACTGAGATGTGAGCAAAGGGGTGTCTCCATGAGTGCCCCTGAAGGTCTGTCCCTGGCCCCCCAACCCCAGCCCCTGCACCCTGCATGCAGTGCCTGTGCTGGGCACACACACAGGCACACACCATTCTCATCTCCCTGCATTCTGCTAAAACTTCCAGCTGCCTTGTCTGGAGGTGGGGACCCCCCAGGAGTAGCAGGGGTCTGGCCTGGGGCCCCTCCAGGGTGGGGGAAGGGAGGCCTGCTGAGTCCTACTGACTCCTTATTTTTGTGGTTTTCAGGGTCCCAAAGGACCGAAAGGAGACCCAGGAGAGCCTGGGCCAACTGGACCCAAAGGAGAAGCAGGAGACATGGGTTTGTCCGGCCTTCCGGTACGTGCCTGGGCGGGACCCTGACCAGCTTACCTGCTGTTCTAGGGGTCCCAAGGTGAACATGTGCCCCATGTAGGGCAGCTGCTGGGGGCCATGTGAAGAGAGCAGGCCTGCGTGAGGGAGGGCAAGGTGTGCCCATGCTAGGTCCTGCAGTCCCCGCACCCACTGCAGCCATGGCCATCAGCCACCCCCTTCCTGTCACCCACACCCCAGGGCTCACCGTGACAAGGCGGGGAGTAGGCCGAGGGCAGCGGGCACGCTGCGCTCACATCCAGCTGCCTCCTCTTCCATCTCTGCCTGACTCTGGAGCCCTGGATGGGCAGCTTAGCCTCCCTGCACCTCAGCTTCCTAGCCTTCACACCGCAAGGCTGGCAGTGCACTCCCTAAACACTACTCTGCCCACTACGCCAGGCCCGCACTGACCTGGGGAACGCTTGGCGAACTTACCCTGCCAGCACGGGGCAGAGGCGCAGGGGCGGTGGGTGAGCCCAGCCCCGTGAGGGGTATTTTAGGTGGCCAGTGGAAGGGACTGACAGGCCACTGCATCCTGCAGGGTGCTGACGGCCTCAAGGGAGAGAAGGGAGAGTCAGCTTCTGACAGCCTCCAGGAGAGCCTGGTAAGGGGGTACTGAGGGTGCCCTGACCCCGTGGGGACCCCGAGTATTGAGACAGGCCACTGGCCTGACCCAACCCAGGGCGGAGGAATGAGGAGCCCCAGGATGTGGGTCCCCACTGAGCCCACCCAAGAACCCTCTGGCTGAGCTCCTGCCCAGGCTGTGCCTTCCTGGGAGAAATGGGAGTGCCCTACCCCACCCCATACCATCCCCGCCGACCCAGAGTGAGAGTGGTAAGCTGGGTGCCAGCCGGGGTGGGGGTGGCAGACAGTGTGTGACTGACCTATCTCTGGCCCTCCTAGACCCAGATCATAGCGGAGCCAGGGCCACCCGGCCCCCCGGGCCCTCCAGGCCCCATGGTAAGAGTGCTTGGTTTGCAGCAGCCTGGCGACCAGGGGGTGGAGTGGGGAGGGCAGGAGATTCCTTCAGGAGAGCGGCAAAGGAGGGCAGAGCCAGACTAGGCCAACAGGGCCAGGGAGGGCCTGAGGCCCAGCGGGCACACCCTGGACCCCCAGTGAGAGCCTCAGGCCCTGGCCCTGGCCCCAAGCCCAGCAGGCCACCTGCCTGACTTGCCTTCTGCTTTTTCCTCCAGGGTCTTCAGGGAGTCCAGGGTCCCAAGGTGAGTGGACAGAAGCCACCTTGGTGGCTGCAGACACAACTAAACAGCTTCAGGCAGCCTTCCCCGGGGGGGACAAGGGAGGGCCCCACACTGGTCTACCACGGCTGAGCTTTGCACATCCATTAGTGCGTGCCCCACCCCCATACCGGGCCTCTTTTCTTGAACTTTGTCCCTCTGGCCAAAGTTCCCAGGCCTCCTTTGCTCTTCCTCTGGCCGCCTAGCCCAGCCCTGTGCCGCCCACTCGCCTTCCCAACCCCCTTCCTTCCTTCCTCCAGGCCACAGCACGCAGCTGGCTGTGGTACATAATGTGTGTTCTCGGCTCTTAAAACGACTGGTGTGGCCCGTCCCCATGCCTGGCCCAGCTCCCTGTCACTCCACGCAGCCCATGTCCCCTGAATTGGGGAGGAAAGGGCATAGCTCTTGCTACTCTCCTGGGCAGTCCATGGTGGAGTTCTGGGTCTGATGGGACCAAGCCAGCAGCCCTATGCTCAGGTGCAGCTTCTGGTTCTGACCAAGGCTGTCCCTGAGCCAGTTTAGAAGCAGTAGGAGCAGCTGTGAGGCATCCAATCCAGGGTTGGGGCCTGGAGACCTGACAGCTGTCCAGCTCTGCCCTTCCTTGGCCTTCGCAGCATGGGGCCGGGCTCCTGGGCTATCTGTGCAGTAGATGTGGCCACAGTCCCCTCCCACGGTGGCTGCAGGGCGTGCTGGGTTGAAAGTGCACACACACAGCTCCTCCCGTGACTCTCACCCCTGAGGGCACGGAGCAAGGCCCACCGCAGCTGGAGTGTGCCCCTCCGCTGGGCTCAGTCGGACTGGCTCTGGGGCTGCGGGCTCCCAGGCCGGCTGTCTGTCTGATTCTCCTCCCCCTTTGTTTCCAGGGCTTGGACGGAGCAAAAGGAGAGAAGGGTGCGTTGGGTGAGAGAGGCCCCAGCGGGCTGCCTGTGAGTGTCACCAGCCTTGCTTGACCCTAGCGGTGGTCCCTCCTGTTCTTTCAATGCATTCTGACCTATTTTTTTTTTTCCACCCAGGGGCCAGCTGGCCCACCAGGCCTCATTGGACTGCCAGGAACCAAAGGAGAGAAGGTAAACCCGGGTACACTCCAATACCACCCCCTGTGACCACACGTCCCGGGTATCTCTCAGCCCTGCGCCCCACTGAGCAGGGAACAGACTCTGCGGATGCCCTGCGTTCAGGCCTGCAGGGTGGGCGTGTCTCCTGGTCTCCATGTCCGTGGCCAGCCCACGGGATCCAGCTTCCCAGCAGCTGTGCTACCAGGTCCCGTCCACCATCCCGCTCCATCTCACCCCCTCTGTGTCTCTCCCCAGGGCAGGCCCGGCGAGCCAGGACTAGATGTAAGTGCCTCATTCATTGTTCATTGCGAGTGTATCTCCTGCCTTGGTACATTCATACAGCAGGAGCCTGAGCTGGCTGCCTCCAGGATGGTCCCATTCCCAGGCCTGGATGCTGCCCGAGTCCTCAGTGCCAACCCGAGTGCTAAGCCAGGAGGAGGCACTTTATGGATGAGGGTACATGGGCGGAGGATGGTGGCAATGAATGAACGCTGGGTGAATGGCAGCGCCTAGGTGACTGATACACACATGAATGGGTGGTCAGATGGATGGATAGACAATGGAAGGATGGACGGATGATACATTGCAGCACAGAATGGACAGATGGGCAATGGATGGATAGTGGATGGATGATACATTAGAGCAGGGAGGAACCCTGGTAAGAGACACTTCAGCCATCAGTGTTGTGGGAAGGAGATATTGAAACCAGCTTAAAGTTACCTACGCCTGAACAATCTGACAGCTGAGCACATGGACCCAGAGCACGCCTACATCCACATGACTCAGCCTTTCATCCTCTCCCGTGTCTGCTCTGTATGTGTTCACTGCATTTCTGAGCTCCTTCGAGGGTGAGGCCTGCCCGGCAGCCCACAGGAAGCCAGCATTGGGCTCCCTCTTCTGTCCCAGAGCGCATCTCACCAGCCTGACTCGGGTCCATGCTGACCCTGCACCTGACCTTAGGAGATGCAGTGCCCTGATTGGCCAGGGTTGATCAGCTCTAGGGTTCTGGGTGAAACCACTGGGAATGGTGGGGACTAGGGGGAGGAATGAGGCAGCTGCTGTGAGGGCAACAGGGGGAGATTCAAGACAGAGAATCCACCTTGGGGAACAGCTGGAGCAAAGAGGAGAAAGAAGCCCATCAGGGTTCCTGGCTTCAGGGGCCACTGGTAAAAAGAGCCAGGCAGGAGACAACGCGAAGCCTAGCTCGGGCTCCAGACCCAGGGCGGCAGGTGGGATGGAGCTGAAGACTCCATGCCATCTGAACGTGTCATCTGGCTCACGCACATGCCCACCCGGTTCCCTGGACAGCCCAAGGTCCCTTTTGTCCACCGGGTTTAACTGAAGTTGGGACCCTGCCCAGAGGCTACCCCTCCTTCTTGATCAAAGAGCCCTTTTGCCAGGCTGTCCCTGCCATCACAGCAACACGCCCACCACCTGTCCCACTACTCAGGGGGCAGGGCACAGCAAGTCCACTGTCCTGTCACCAGCATCCGGCCCACAGCCCTGTCCTGATTAGTGCATGCTTAGTTGGGTTGGCTCAGTGCGTGGACAGACAAGCTGATGGACAGGTGGGCGTACAAGAAATTGAGCAGAGAGGTGAATATTTGGCAGAGCAGTCAAGACACCCATGTCCCTTCTCAGTGTACATGGTTCAGGTCCCAGCTGCAGCTCCTGACTCCTGACTCCAGCTTCCCGCTAGTGCAACCCCCGGGAGGCAGTGGTGCTGGCTCAAGTGCTAGGGTCCCTGTCACCTTCACTGCAGAAGACCTAGTGTGGCTGCATTCCCAGCCCGTGCCCAGCAGATGCTTGGCAAGGAACACGCTGTCTGCCACTTAAACAGCATAGTAAGTTAATCAGTACAAAGCCCAAGTCATAAATACCTATGGTTCCCTGGGTCTCTGTGCCCAGCCAAGCCAGGGCCACTGCCATGATAGTGACGGGAGAGAAAGTGCCAGGGCCACTTCAGGCAGGAGTGACAGGAGAGAAAGCCCTTGGCTAAAGGTCTGCCCGAGGCTTTCCCCAGCAGTGTCTGCCCCGGAGGAGGCAGGGTTGGTGCCCTGGTGCCAGCATCCCGGGGTGTCAGCCTGGGTCCTACAGCTGGGGCCCAGCCAGCCTGTCCTGGTACCACGCGCTGAAGGAGAAGGGGCAGAAACTTCCCCCAAGCTTTGGGCTCACAGTGAACCCTGAATCCCTTGCCAGGGCTTTCCTGGACCCCGCGGAGAGAAAGGTGATCGGAGTGAGCGTGGAGAGAAGGTGAGGTGGGAGGGGGAGCGAGGAGGCCAAAGCAGGGGAGGGAGGAGGCCAGGGGAGTGCTGGTTGTCGGGGAGGCTGAGGGCGAAGCTATGGGCGTCATGGCGGCTGGCCTGGCGCTTCTGTGTGCACCTGACCCACACAGCCGTTCTACCTTCTCCCTTCCTGTGCAGGGGGAGCGAGGAATCCCAGGCCGGAAAGGAGTGAAGGGTCAGAAGGGTGAGCCAGGACCACCAGGCCTGGACCAGCCGTGTCCCGTGGTACGTGTCAGAGCACAGTAGAATTCCGCATGCCGGTCTATGGGTGCCAGCCACTGTCAGCCTGGCGCTTCCCTGTCCACAGAGCTCAGGTGCAAGTACAAGAGGCCATACCAGCCCCCAGCCAGGGCACCCACATCAGACCCTGCCATGGTGCCCATGCCAGCCCCTGCCAGGGTGCCCATTCTAGCCCCCAGCCAGGGTACTCATGCCAGCCCCCATGCTGATCCCCAGCAAGGCCACCCACACCAGACCCTGCCAGGGCGCCCGATGCCAACCAGGGTGCCCACACCAGCCCTCTTCCAGGGTACCCAATGCTGACCAGGGTGCCCATGCCAGCCCCATGCCAGGGTGCCTATGCTGATCTCCAGCCAGGGCACCCACACCAGACCCTGGCAGGGTGCTCACACCAGACTGCCAGGGTGCCCGTGTGGCTGCTGTTCAGGTCCCTTCCCCTCCTCCATGAGCGTGGCTTTCTGGAAATAGATGCCCTGCCCAGGGTTGAGCCATGTCAAAGTCATGGCTTCCTTTTCTTGTTTTTAAGATTTATTTATTTATTTATTTTAGTGGAGAGGCAGATTTACAGAGAAAAGGAGAGACAGAGAGAAAGATCTTCCAAAAAGCTTGTTCACTCCCCAGTTGGCCAGGAGCTTCCTCCAGGTCTCCCACACACGGGTGCAGGGTTCCAAGGCTTTGAACCATCCTCCACTGCTTACCCACGCCACAAGCAGGGAGCTGGACAAGAAGTGGAACAGCCAGGCCATGGAATGACATTCATATGGGATGCTGGAACTGGCAGGTGGAGGATTAGGCTGTTGAGCCACAGTGCCAGCCCAAGTCATGGCTTCTTAGTTCCTGGGCAGTCGAGAGGACTCCCACCTGGCCATCCTGGGCGAAAAGTAGACAGGAGCCAGGCTAGAAGTGAACCTTGCTTTGGCCAGGGTGAGTGACATTAGAGTGCCCAGGGAGGGGGACCAGGCCCTGGGGAGGGGCAGCCAGATGGCCACAGGCAATCTGCTATGGAGGCAGGATCCAGGTCAGCAAGGGTCCTGCCCCCACCTTCCGGGCTTGGGACCAGACAGGGCTGCAGTCAGTGGATAAGAGGGAGTGCCCTGCCCTGCTGTCCTCTCCTTCCCGAAGGACCCGGGACATCCCCCATCCCCACACTCTCACTGTGTGCCCTGAGCCCAAACCCCTACACCCGGCTGTCCTCCTCCTGAGGGCCCTGCCTGCCTTCCAAGCCCCCCAGGCCTGGCCCAGCCCTTTTTCCCAGACAGCAGGAAGGGTTTCCATGTCAGGTTCCCTTAGGGAGCTCCGAGAAAGACAGAAAAACAGCACCCATGCCCACATGCCCATGCCCAGTCCTGCAGCCCTCTGCCCCTCAGCCCCTTTCTTCACAGTGGGTTTGGGGGAGTGCCTGAGAAACAGGGGTGTGCACACACACACACACACACACGTGCACAGGGTCACGAGCAGCCAGGGGTGTGCCCACCTGCAGCTCCAGGCCCTGCCCGAGATTTCCCTGCAAGCCACCATGCCTTTGTCTTCAAAACAGGAGCATCCTGGCTGCGGAGGCAAGCGTGGGGTGCCAAGCCCAAGGGCCCCAGCGTGGGGCAATGGGCCCTGCCCTGTGGTAGGCAGCCTGGCCTGCTGTGTGCCCAGCGTGCCCTGCTGCCTATGTCACACCTCTGCCCCTTGTTTGTGCCTCCCCATCCATTCTGCCCTTCCCTCCCGAGCCCTGGGCTGTGTCTTTTGCATGTTCCTGGGGGCCCCGGGGAGTGCTCGGTGTGTCTGAGGTCTGTGCATGGGTGCTTCTGGGGACAGAATGAAGTGCTTGCAGTCCCCCTGGGCCCCCAGGGGCTGTCCGTTTTGTCCCCATGATCTCACCACCCTCCCGGCCCCCTGCTTGCCTCCCACGGTTCGGTGAGCATTGTTGGAGCCTCCAGACAGCCCCAGCACGGTGCCCAGCATCAACCCTGGCAACCTGGGCCTGCCCTGCCTCATCTCAGATCCAGTCTGCAGGGCCGGGGTTAGGGTCGTGGTAGGGGGTTCTGCTGGCTTGTCCATGAAACACTCATAGAGACACTTCCGCTCAAGGCCTGAGTGCTCTACTGGGTTCCCAAGGTGAGGGGTCAGAGCTAATGGCACAGCCACCAGACGCGAAGCCACACAGCTCCTCTGCAGGGCCAGGATGGGCCCTCCTGACCAGCCGGCATCTGGCCGTGACTTCATGGTGGCCCTGGCTTGTGAGCACCACACTGGTGTCCTGGTTCAGTGCAGTAGCAACACATTGAGGACTGGGACAGTGTCGGGCCACTGTGTGCCCCTGAATCTGCTGCCCAAATGGATAGTGAGGTGTCCGGCAGGCTCCCAGCAGCACCTGGGTGGCCCTTCTCATATGTGGGGAGTGCGGAGGGGGGATGTGAGGGTGTTGGGTGCTGACTTCATGTCCAGCTCAGTCACAGCAACCTTCTTCCTTTCCAGGGTCCCGATGGGCTGCCTGTGCCTGGCTGCTGGCATAAGGTACATGCCGGGAAATGTCCCCTCGGGTGGCTTAGAGGTATGGGGAGACAGAATCAGCACCCTGGGCATCTATGGCTCCCAGCACATAGATGCCCCATCACCACCCTGGCTTGTCACTCCCCTTGCATGGCCCAAGCTGGGCCAGTGAACCGAAGGGACTGCACCTGCTCTCTTGGTCTCCTGGGCCTCAGTCAGAGTCCAGCACAGCCAGTGCCAAGCCACCAGATGTCCCTGGGACTTTGTCCAAACTGTCCCACTGAGCGGGGCCTGACAGGACAGGGCTGGGGCCCAGGCAGGATGGCGACCCTTAATCACCTGAAGTCTTTCCCTCCTTTTCCAGTGATTTCCAGAGCCAGTCCAGTTCACAGCTTGTACAGACCTGTGTGGACATTTTGAATTTCTGTAAAAACAAAACAGTAATATATTGTTCTTTCATGGGATGCACCACCTGTGGCCTTGTAACATTCGCAAGCGTCCAAACCAGCCCAGAACCAACAACCAGAGGGGACCAGTGAGCCTGGTGCAAGGGCTGTCCACAGGGACACACACAGGACACTGCTTCCCTGCAAAGGAGACAAAGGTGGCAGTGCCTGGCTCAGCTGAGGCTGGAAAAACACCGGACTAATTAGCAGAGAGCCTCACCACCTTCCAGGACCACAGCCATGCAATGGCCCTCAAGCCATACAGAGTACCAGGAGGCCCAGCACTCAGACGCCCTGCCCTGGCCCCCGGACCTCTATCCCCACGGACGAAATGCCCGTTGCTCTTGTTCCCACCTACCCCGGCTGGGCTCAGGAAGCTAGCTTGCCACAGGGACACAGATTGTCTGGCCTGACACAGCAGCCAAGCTCCAGGACCACTGTGATGCAGAGCCAACTGCTGAAGCCCTGTTGATCCCCAGGCACGATGGACGGAGGGTCCCAGGTTGGGCCTGGCTGCTACTCCCTGCCACATCACCCAGAGCTGGGGCTGACAGCTGGGACGGTAGGGTCCGAGGGGAAGGCCCTCCAGTCAGAGCTGGTCCCAAGCGTCCTGCCCAGCGCTCTGGTCTGCTAGACAGAAACTGTCATCCTGTCAAGTGACACAGAGGAAGCCAGCTTCGGGGCCACCTCCCAGCTAGCCGGGGCAGGGACCTACAACTGCCCCTGGCAGGCGTCCCAGCAGCTAGCTCCTCCCTTTCTGCGTCGACAGATAACGCTGCATTGTAATAAACCACCACTGTGTGACTAGCTGTGCCTGTCCTTGCAGCCTGCCCTGGGTACCGGGTACTGGGCACCGTGGACTGGGCTACTAGTCTGGCCCTTACTGGGCGGGAACAGAAAAGAAGACACTCCCAGAGCCATTAAGAGCAGGGGACGGTTAGAGTGCGGAGTTCAGAAGGCACAGACTCGAGGCCTGGTCCTGCCACTCTAGCCAAGTCCTCTGGCCCTCGGTAGCTTCTGTCACCATGTCCCCATATGCCCCTCTGTTGTGGTGACCAGAGCGTGCTACTTAACCGGTCACCCCAAAACCTGATGTCAGGGCTAATTCTCTCTCACAGCCTTGGGGCCACAGGCTCAGTGGGGGTGCTTCTCATTCAAGCTCTCTCCATCTGGGGACCAATATTGGCTGTCGTTTGGGACCTCAAGTGGCCAGAGAACCTGCCTGGGGTCCCTGCCCAGGACCTGGCTTCCTCACAGCATGAACTCCAGCGGCCAGTGGGCCAAGCCTCTGACTTCGTACGGGACTCGTCCTGATGTGGGGGAGGCAGCCTGATCCCGGCTTCCTGATTTCCATCTGCATTGAAGGAGGACATTCCGGGGGGCCTAGATCTGGCTGTGGTTGTTCAGAAATGCCACGTGCTGCTGCCTCACCTGTAAAGCGGGAGGGCCGCCCTTACGCTCACACTGATTGGCTGAGGTCCGCTGCGGGGATAAGGACAAACCTGGGACCAGGAAGGCATCCAGGAACAGCAAGGTCACGGTCCCGCAAAGCATCCCCACACTTCTCATCCCAGCTGGTCTTGTGGCAGGGACAAAACCCAGCCCATCCCAGGCGGCACTGACATAATACACATAGACACATAGAGCAGACCCTGACATGTGGCATTCTTGCCACACATAGGAGGCCTAGCCACACTGGCTCATGTGGGAAGAATACAAGGGTACCTGGGCCTGGCACGATAGCATAGTGGTTAAAGAATACAAGGATACAACAGGAAGCTCACAAAAGACAGAATTACCAGTGTAAGTTTATTTGGATACAAAAAACTTTTTTCCATTCTATCTGCAAAATGCATATGATGAAATGGGTACTTGGATTTCAAGATCTTTTTGCATCAGAATAAACGTATTCTTCTTAAAGGTTTATCTATTTTTATTAGGAAGGCAGATTTACAGGGAGAAGAACAGACAGAGAAAGGTCTTTCATCTGCCGGTTCACCCTCCAAATGGTCACCACAGCCAGAGCTGAGCTGGTCCGAAGCCAGGAGCCAGGAGCTTCCTCCAGGTCTTCTATGCAGGCATAGGGTTTCAGGGCTTTGGGGTGTCCTCTGCTGATTCCCAAGGCCATAAGCAGAGAGCGAACTTGGAAGTAGAACAGCCAAGACGTGAACTGACACCCATATGGGATGCCAGCACTGCAGGCGGAGGATTAGCCAGTTGAGCCACTGTGCCAGCCCCTAGACTTACACCTTTTATTATTTTCTAATATGTAAATTTTGTTTTGGATGAGTTTACATTGCTGATCAGGGTGGGAAAAGTGAGTGTGATCATTTTTTTTTTTTCCAAATTTTCTATTTCTTCTTCCTGTTTCTGGGCAGGGGCAAGGGGAAGATGAAGGGAGAAGCCACACTCAGCCTCCCGCCCCAAGTACCCAGGGATGGAGAAGGGCCACGCGATGTCATCCCAGGGTCCTGATGTACACACAGCAAGGGATCTGCTCGGGTGGTTTCACTAGTTCTGAAATGCTGTCGATCTCGCCAAGCCACGGATGGGGAAATCCTTCCTCGTGAGCTGACACAGTCCCCCTTACAGTCTCCATGCGCCCTCACTGTTTGCTGTCACCGTTTGGCTGGGGTAGTTGTCCCATCCGCTCTGTTCTCCTTCCTCTGCTATGGTACCAGTTGTCCTCTGCCGGCCCCAATGGGCTGCCACATCCTCTCTGTGTATCAGGGCCTGCAGTATACTGCTACATTTTTTTCCGCTGAGGAGGACCAGTCCTCCAAGGTGGGCCCAAAAACCCAGGCTAAATCACCCTGGCCCTCCAGACCCCATGCCTTGGGCTCACAGACCCAGCACCCACTGCACAGGTGGACCCAAGGACCCAGGCCCCGCCAGAAGCCCCACCCCCAGGGATTATGGAACTGGCACCAACCACGCAGCAGGCCCAAGGAACTTACACCTTTTTTTTTGTTGTTGTTGCTAATTTATTTTTATCACAAAGTCAGATATATAGAGAGGAAGAGAGAGAGAGAGAGAGAAAGATATTCCATCCAATGATTCACTCCCCAAGTAGCCACAACAGCTGGAGCTACGCCAATCTGAAAGCAGGAGCCAGGAGCCTCTTCTGGGTCTCCCACGCGGGTGCAGGGTCCCAAGGCTTTGGGCTGTCCTTGACTGCTTTCCTAGGCCACAAGCAGGGAGCTGGATGGGAAGTGGAACCGCCAGGATTAGAACCGGCGCATTCTAATTATGAGATCCCAGTGCGTTCAAGGTGAGGACTTTAGCCACTAGGCCACCACACCAGGCCCGAACTTATACCTTTTAAATTTTTTTGCTTCAGTTAGTTGAGAAGCAGAAAGAGACCAAGATGGACACACAGAACTCCCACCCTCTGGTTCACTCCCCAAACGGCCACAATGGCCAAGGTTGGACTACATTCAAGCTAGGAGCCAGCAGTTCACTCTCTGTCATAATTAGGGGACAGGGTCCATTGCTGCCTCCTGGGTCTGCATCAGCAGGAAGCTGCGGATAGGAGCCACAGCTGGGGATGAGCCAGGTACTCCCCTGTAGGACACGGGCATCCTAGTTGCTAAGCTAAGCAACTGCCCTCACACGCACGTATGAATTGAGCTCTCTGTAAGTTTTTCGAGGCACCATCATACATCAAGGACCCTCTTCCTCCTCCCTCAGGAGCTGCAGCTAAATGTCAGGCCGCACTGCTGGGCAAATGTCTCAGACAGCAGGCACTGGAGGTAGGGAAAGAGAAAGAGCGGGGCCTTGGTGCCAGGGTGGTCACTGGGTGTCCAGCCCCCTCACCAACCCTGGGAAGGACAGTGTCTGTGTGTTAGGTGTCACCCTGTCCATTCATGTGTGGCGGGTGCTCACGTGGCTGGAGACACACAGCCAGGACAGGCGCTACAGATCAGCCCACTCTCGCTGGACCCTCATCTGCCCGGATGTCGACAGGGCGTGGTGTCCGCTAAGCAGCCCATGATGCTGATGGATGGGCAGTTGGCAAGTGGGGGCTGGGGGGCAAAACCACATGCTCTTCCATCCCCCAGATCCCGGAGAGGCGGGGCTCCCCTTCCTTGATCTTGGGAAGATCAAGCTACTCTCAGCCTGTTGCTGCTCCCGTGTGATGTCACTCCTGGGTTAGGTTCCTGAGGACCATGTGGCCATCATGGGAGAGTAAGGGGCTTGCTCCAGGTTGCAGCTGAGGGTGGGAGAGAAGCACCATCACCCTCTGCCCCCAAGAGCCTCAAGGACAAGGTGTGGGTGGGTTGGGGGAATAGGAGGCCCTTAGTGAAAAGAAGAGAAATTGCTTTAAACCGCCCCTCCAGAAGAGATGTGAAAAGAAAACCCACTGCACATGCCCACGCCATCACAGGACAGCGTGAAAGCTGGGACCACTGGCCCTCCCACGCCTGCGCCTCCTCATCCCATGGCATGCACTGCTCTAAGCTGTCATAGCAATGATGATGGCACTGCTGGCTTCCCATTGGCAGGGGCAGGGATGACAGCCTTGGAAACACACAGGACAGTGGGCGTGGAGGAGTTAGCACAGGAAGGAAGGAAGCAGCTGACTAGCAGCCGCAACAGGGACCAGTTCTGAGGGGTACACCTGCAGCAGCAGCCCCTTCTCAGGGTGCCCGTGGCCATATGCTTGACAAGGGAGCAGCGGCAGGCCAGTCAGAGGCTATGCAGTGCGGTACAGAGCACCAGCCAAAAGGTTCTCCCAGATCTGAGGGGCTCACAGCGCTACCCACTGCCCTGAGTCTACCCTCCACATTACCCCGTATGCCACACTACCCAGTATGCAGAGAAGCACCATGCCCTGGGTCTGAACCGTGGCTCAGCCACTTCCTTCCAAACCCTGACCTCTTGGCTTGGAGTGTTTCTTGGAAGCCCAGGCAGAAGATGGCGGAGCCAGAGGCAGGAAGAAAGCGAGGCTTCCTGGAGTTGTGGTCCCAGATGTATGTCCTCATAGAAAAGCCTGCTGTGGTCTCCAACTGTGTCACCGCCTGCTGCCGGACAGCCCAGGTGCATACACCATGTAAGCCAGGCCTGGCTCGGCCTTGTCTCCCACGTCTTCAAAACAGGCAGGGCACTGAGCCGAGCAAATTTCCTGGAGCCATCCTGGGGACCCCTGATGCTACAGCAGAGGCTCGAAGCCAGGGCAGCAGAGAGGAGACCCCACAGAGGGGGCACGCGGGGCACCCGTCCAGCAGTGAAGCTTGCGCACACGGGCCTCAGAAAAGGGTAGGCCTCTGCTCATTAGGGAATCAAGAAAAATGATGGGCCGGGCACAGTGGCCTAGTGCCTAAAGTCCTCACCTTGAACGCGCCAGCATCCCATATGGGCACCAGTTCTAATCCCAGCAGCCCCGCTTCCCATCCAGCTCCCACCTTGTGGCCTGGGAAAGCAGTGGAGGACGGGCCAAAGCCTTGGGGACCCTGCACCTACGTGGGAGACCTAAAGGAAGCTTCTGGCTCCTGGCTTCAGATCAGCTCAGCTCCGGCCGTTGTGGCCACTTAGGGATTGAACCAGTGGATGGAAGATCCTCCTCTCTGTCTCTCCTCTTCTCTGTATATCTGACTTTGCGATAAAAATAAACCAAATATTTTTGAAAAGTTAACAGGAAATTCATTTTTAAAAAGTGTAAAAGGTTCAATTGTATTTAAAATGAAAGAGGAGAAACTGCACTGGTTTGAGAAAGACAGCAGAGCTGTGTGCGGGCTGGACAGCTGGGCTCGCGCAGAAGGCACTGCGAGCCGGGGCCCGGCTTCCTGATAACGTGCGAGCTATTTCCCCTTCTCTCCCTGTTTCAATCTATGTGTGTGCCTCTCAAATAAATACGTTTTTGTGTGGATGGGTGGTGATAACAGTCACACAGCAAATGCAAATGAACTTACTGCCACAGAATTGTAACTTTAAAACTGGTGAAATGATCAATATACTTTGATGCATGTTTTACTATAATAAAAAGGAAACTCCAAGTGCCTTTTAATAAATGCCCTAACCCACCTCGGGCTGCCTGCATCGAGGTCACAGCCGAGCGGGGACACTATGCTTTCCCATCCAGCTTCCTGCTGAGGCGCACCCCAGGAGGCAGCACAGCCAAGCACTGGGGTCCCTGACGCCCACAGGGGGACCAGGCCCCCCGAGCGCTGGGCTGCTGCTCGAGGCCAGGCCCAGCCTTCACAAGGCATCTAGGGGAAGTGAGTCAGCAAACCAAAGGGATCTGTTTCTGTCACTCTGTCTTCCAAATAAATCAATCTTTTTTAAAAGTTAAAATAATAATAATAATCATGCTCTAAAGTATTTTACAAAGGCTAGGAATCTTGAAGAGGTGGACAAAGGATGCGGGTACACGCAGGCCTCCCCTTCCTCAGCCCGCTCGCACCAGGGCCCCTTACCCTCTTTCTCGGCCTCACCAAGCAGAAAGCCACCGCGGCCACCGCAATGTCCCTGCTCACCCGGCTCCTCGCCTGGGGTCAGCCTGTAGGGGACCAAAGGCCTTGCCCACTCTGGGCCCCAGTTTCCCTGGACCTGGAATGCAGTACTCCGGGCAAACTCCCTGCCCGAACGGTACAGTCTCCCAGTGCTGATGGGTTCACCCTCCACCCCCAGGCTGCACCGGGATGCCCCGGGCTCCCCGGCTCCTTCGGCAAGAGCAGAGCGCCCCGGCCCTGCCATGCAACGGGCAGCAGCCACAGCCTCCCGCCTAAACCCCCCCGCGCTGCTACTCCAAGCCCGAGCCTGGCCGGCTGCCGAGCGGGGGGAGCCCACCCCTTGGCCTCCCCGAGCGGGGACGTGAGCGCACGCGGGGGCCGCCCGGGGCGGGGAGCCGCAGAGCCGGGCGGCAGGGCGGCAGGGCGGAGCCCGCAGGCCGCGCCACGCCAGCGTCATGGCCGCCGAGCGGCGCGCCAAGGCCGACACCCTGGCCCTGCGCCGGCGGCTCCTCAGGTACCGCTGCGGGCAGGGCAGCGCGGGGTGGGGGGCCGCGGACGCGCCACGGCAGCGCCCTGCGCCGGGCCCCGTGGGATGGTGCGTCGCGGTCACGCAGGGGGCTCGTTGCGCAGCGCCGGCCCGGCCGGGGTGGCGCGCGCCCGGGCAGTGCCCTGGTATCCCGGGGAGGGCGACGGGCTGGCAGGCCAGGTGAGGGACCGCGCGTGGGCAGCATCCCGCCCGGGCACGGGACTGGCTCGCCCGCGAAGTGGGGGGGGACAGCAGGGGCCGCAGCCGGGCACACAGCCGCGGGGAGCCTGCCTGCCCGGCGTGGCAGCCACTTCTGCCCAGGGGCCCAGGGGCCATCCGGCACCTTCAGAAGGCAGCACCGCCACGGGGAGTTCAAGAAACCAAAAAAGAAGTGATTTGGAGTTGTACTAACTTCTTGCCGCCGAGGCCTCCTGTACTTTGGAGTCGGGGGGAGGGGCGGAGACTGAACAAAAGTCCAGGCAGGGGCAGCAAGGGCAGCAAGGGACCTGGGTGGTGGACCTGCCTCCTCGCCTGTCGCCCACAGCGCTTCCTGCAGACTCTTTTTCCCTGAGGATCCTATTAAGATGGTCCGAGCCCAGGGACAGTACATGTATGACGAGCAGGGCGCGGAGTACCTGGACTGCATCAACAATGTGGCTCACGGTCGGTATGCTCGCTCAGGCTGGTAGGGCAGGGCAGGAGACTGAGGCTGGGCACCCGGGCCGGAAGTGGGGCTTGTGGAGAAGCCCCTGGGGGAAGCCGAGCTACCACCCACGTGCGTTTAGAGGATCCGGTCCTTGTGATGAAATTCTGGAAGGTTGCAGGCCTTGACTTGCTGACCCAAGCGCGAGTCAGAGATGTCGGTGTGTGGCTCGGGTGCCGCGTGGCCCAGACGATGAGTTGAGAGAGCTGGGTCGGGGCCTGTGGACCCCTTCCGAGGGCGGGCAAGGAAGCTGGGCTTGGAAACAAGTGTACCAGCTGGGGTTGCCGGGAGGCAAAGCAAGGCGGGAACCGGTCGGCAAGATGGAGGTTAATAAAACAGAGGTGAAAGCAGGGGCTCAGGTCCCAGACTGCGTGGTCTGGCCCACATGCACTCTGTGGTCCTGGGTGGGTGAATTCATCATCTGGGCTTTGGTGTGACCCTGTGCAGAGCACCCTCATAGACGTGGTAGGTGCAGGCTGCGAGGTGTCTTAAGAATACGCCTGGCGCTGTCTGCTGCCCATACTTGCTCAGTTGTCCTCCTTGGCCCTGGCAGCCCCCATTCCCACCAGCCCCCTTTCGCGGGTGGAAGCAGACATGGTGCCCGCCGTGCTGTACCCCTCACCCACCCTCCCCCTGTCTCGAGCAGAAGGCATCCGAAAGCCATCTTGCAGGCATGGGGTTTTGAAGCTATCCTTCTTCTGCCAGAAGCTCAGGGATCCCAGAACTGGCATCTCTCCTCCCCCATCTCTGCCTCTTCCTCTGTAACTGGGTGGGTTTGGCTGGGCTCAGTGGGAGTGAGCGGGGGTCCCTGAGAGGGGCTGAGCAGAGTGGGCCATGTGATGGAGGTGGCCCTCTTACAGTGGGGCACTGCCACCCTCTCGTGGTCCAAGCTGCACACGAACAGAACCAGGTGCTCAACACCAACAGCCGGTACCTGCACGACAACATTGTGGATTACGCGCAGCGGCTGGCACAGACCCTGCCGGATGAGCTCTGTGTGTTTTATTTCCTGAATTCTGGGTAAGTGGACTGCGGCCAGCCCCCTAGCCGGAGGGTGAGACCACAGAGAACGGGGTGCTGCCAGGAGGATGCGGGTCAGAGTCGCCCTTGCTGCTCTGGCCCCCAGCACACACTCCGGCTGCAAACCAGACCTGCTGTGGTGGGATCCAGCCCCTGGCAAGCAGCCGACACTCTTCTAGGATCCTTAGTGGGACTAAGTAAGGTGCCTACAGCTGTAGTCCCCACCCTTAGACACTCAGTGAGGTGTGGCAACGTGGAGGGATTCTTTGAAGAATTCCAGGAGAGCCAGAGGAGCTGTGGTCTGGAGGAGGCGTCCGGAGGGTGTTGAGGCCTCCGAGCTCTGGGGGACCTGACCTGTTTAGAAGATGTGGCTGAAGAAACACCGTTTCTTAGGGCTTGGGGCTCAGGAGCTGAGAACGGGGCAGGGTGAGGAGAAAGCAAGAAGTGCTTGTCAGGCTGGGCACTGCCAGCTGTCCTGCACAAAGGTCCACTGGCAGAAGCGGCACGGCCCCTGGGCACACGAAGGAACCCAGCTGAGGGTCCATAAGGCAAGAGGAGAGGGCACGAGCTGACACCGGGCCTTGGCAGCCAGGCTCCCCAAGAGCAGGGGAAAGCCCTGGGAGGCTCTAGTTGGGGAAATGATGTCATCAGGGCAGGCAGCAGCCCAGCGGCCAGGGGGACAGCGGTGACACGGCCCCGTGGCAGGCAGGGGCAGGCAGGGCAGGAACGGAAAGATGGTCAGAGCACACCTGGGAGGGAGTTGTGCTAAGCCGCAGGCAGTGGCATCCGTGTTAGAGAAATGAGCGTGAGCATGAGGCAAGATTTCCCCATAATACAAAGTCAGATTTACAAAGAAGGAGAGACAGAGAGGAAGATCTTCTGTCTGCTGGTTCACTCCACTCCCCAAGTGACCACAATGGCTGGAACTGAGCCGATCTGAAGCCAGGAGCTTCGTCTGTGTCCACCATGCAGATGCAGGGACCCAAGGACCTGGGCTGTCCTCTACTGCTTTCCCAGGCCACAAGCAGGGAGCTGGAAGGGAAATAGAGCAGCCTGGACATGAACCGGCGCCCACAGGGGATCCCAGCACATGCAGGGCGAGGACTTTAGCCACTTGGCTACCGCGCCGGACCTCCATGAACATTTTAGAGTCCTCATGCTTGAGTCAGCCATCCCCTCTCCCCTTTTCCCTTCCCTGGGTAACTTCTGGAAGGTGGGATTTACCATCCACAGTTTGCAGATAAGGAAACAGCAAGGAAATGTGAGTGGAACCAGAACAGCACCCTGTCGGGGGAGAGCGAGGAGCTGGGCGCTGGGGCCACTGGAACCTCAGTAGCAGAGGGCACGAGTTTGAGACCCCAGAGGCCTCTGTGTGGTGCACGTGCTGATCTGTGTGGCTGCCACGTTGTCCGTGCGGCCTCTGCCTGCTGGCCTGGCCTCGCCTGCTCACAGCACTGCCTGACGCCGGCCCTGTCCCCGGAAGCGCTACCTTCCCCTGCCTCCAGGACACTGCACTGGCTGCTTTCCTTCCAGCTTCTCTGGCTGTTCTGTCTGCGTGGCCGTGTCGTTCTCTGTCCCTTGGGCTGCTCTGGGCTTCCTTTGTACTCTGAGCCCCCTTCCTGTGTGATCTCAGCCCATCTCTTCGCCTGTCTCATGGGCTGGGGCCTCCCAGACTGAAGTCATGATCCCAGAACCCCCCAAGCCATGCATTTGACAAACATCTCCAACTTCACATGGTAATGAAGTTATCTTCTGCCAACATGTGGCATGGGTGGGAGCCCAGCGCCTGACCCCAGGCTTTCTCAGGAACCCCGTTAGCACCAGTCTGACCCCATCTCTGGCTTCTCCATTCCCATTCCTGCTCAGAGCCAGCACACCTGCTCTTGCCCGCAGCCACATTCCTCTGCCCCACCTCCCCGTAGCAACACCTCCCAAGCCCTCTGCCCTGGCTCCTGGCTTCAGCTCCGGGTGGCCAGCAGCTGGAAGACCTGCTGTACCTCTCTTTCTCTAACTCTGCCTTCCATATAAATGCAATAAATTTTTTAAACAAAATGTTTAAAAATAAGCCAAATGGGAGCAGGCCATGTTCCTTCCCTATTACTGTTTCTCAGTGTCTTTGCTTGGCACTGGGAGGCCAGGCCCCTTCTCCACCCTGTGGCTGCCCCTGCCCTTGGGCGTGGGTACCCTGAGCCCACCCCCTCCACAGGGCTCACTGCTCTCCCTTTGCCAGAGGACCCCGTGACGGCACCACAGAGGCCAGCAGCTTCCGTTCCCCCAGGGCCTCTCTCCTGGGTTCCATGTGCCGCTTTTCACTGTGGACGCGGCGTGGCGTGTTTTCCTCTGCGCGCACACACACACCCACCCCAGGGTCTCTTCGGGTGTCCAGGTTTCCTCTTCAATGTTTTTTTTTTTTTCCTTGAAAGATGTATTTGAAAGGCAGAATTACAGAGCCAGAGGAAGACAGATCTTCTGTCCTCTGGTTCACTCCCCAAATGGCCACAATGGCAAGGGCTGGGCCAGGGCAGAGCCAGGAGCCAGGAAGTTCACCTGGGTCTCCGACATGGATGGAGAAGCCCAGCCACCTGGTCCATCCTCTGCCCCCTTCCAGGCGTATTAGCAGGGAGCTGGATGGGAAGGGGGACAGCTGGGATTTGAACTGGTGCCCATATGGGATGCTGTTGGGGGTGGTGATAACACAGCAGCAGCCCCCAGGCTTCCTTTGCCCTTCACAGCCTCTAAGCACAGCCACACCTGGGCCTTCCTGGGGTGATGGCAGGGACGAGGGCTTCCACGTGTGAAAGTAGGAGTGACAAAATTGAGCCCCTAACACCCCCTGTCTAAAGTAGGCCCATGTCTGGTCTGTGCTTGGGGACTTTGTACCGGCCGTGGCACTTTCAAAATGGCACCCACTTGCTCTCACTTCCATGGCTTTCATGACTCAGCCCCGAATGTAACCCCAGGAGGGCCAGCACACGGACACTAACTCCTGACTGCTAGAAGGATGGCCCCTGGCCGTCAGGGCTCCTTTAGAAGCCGTCGGATACCCGTGCAACCCGGGTGCACCTTCTCTATCACAGGTCGGAAGCCAACGACCTGGCCCTGAGGCTGGCCCGCCAGTACACGGGACACCAGGACGTGGTGGTGCTGGACCAGTAAGTGCGGCCCAGCAGCCAGCCCATACCTGCACGTGCTTGCTGAGGGCCCGTAAGGCGCTGGTGTCTGGTGCCTCGGGCAGGGAGGAGGAGGAGGAAACATGGCAGCCAGAGATGGCACTCGGCCTGGCACCTCCTGCTGCATGGGGCCACCGCTGAGCCACAGCTTGGAAAGGCAGCGAGCAGAGCATCACAAGAAGGTGAAAGTGGCTCCCATGACAATGTATGTATTGACACTGGCCCCCGGCCGTGGCTCCCGGGAGACCCACACCCAGGCTCGCAGCCTGAATGCTTCTAATATGATCCATCTCAGCAGTGAAGAGAGCTTCAGCTGGAAGCCAGCACCACAGCCAGGGCATGGCCTCGCAGGAAGGCCTGCTGAGCCTTGGGCCTGTGCTTGGCCCTGGCCCAAGGACTCAGGAACTGAGGCTGAATGGTTGACCTCCCTGGTGTGCGGTGGGCAGGAATCGGACCTGGGGCCCCAGGCCTTTACTCGCCACTCTCCTCCACAGCGCCTACCACGGGCACCTGAGCTCCCTGGTTGACATCAGCCCCTACAAGTTCCGGCACCTGGACGGCCAGAAGGAGTGGGTCCATGTGGTATGCACTGCCCAGGTCAGGACCAGGTCTGTGCCCACTCTCCAGCGCAATGACGTTATCCTGTCCCCCCCTACAGGCACCTCTCCCAGACACCTACAGGGGCCTGTACCGGGAAGACCACCCCAACCCGGCCGTGGCCTATGCCAGTGAAGTAGAACATGTGGTCAGCAGTGCGCAGGCGCAGGGCAGGAAGGTAACCACATCTGTGCCACTGTGTCACCTCCCCTTGAGCTAGAGTGAGGTCCTGGGATTGAGGTTAGACTAGTTCACTGTTCAGGGCATGAAGAGGTGTCCAGGGCCGAGGCTAACTAGAGTGGGCCTGAAGGGGCTCTCACGGGAGGAACTGTTCCACTACAGTCATGAAAAGGAAGGAGTTAGACACAGAGAGATCCCCTGAGCTGGGTTCTGCCCAGGGATGGGGAGCCTCCCAGAAGATGGACTGTCAGTGGGCATGGGGAGGGGCTGGAGCCCCAGTGCCATGCTGAAGGTCCCTCCAACAGAGGGGCTGTGTGGCTTTGGGTTTGGGTGGGAGGAACCTGGTCAGGCCACCCAGGCCATCTCCAGGCAGTGGAGAGGAGGGAGGGAAGACATGGACCCCAGGAGTGGAGCCTATGTGTGAGTCCAGGGCCAGCAGGGGCTGCAGGGCTGGCAGAAGCAGGGTGAGGAAGCTGGCCCACATGTATGGATGCCTGGACAGCCCGGGCAGAAATTGCACCCTGGCCACCCCATGGCAGTTTGTCAACCTGTCAGCTCCTTTCTAAGCGACAGCTTCTGAGCTATGCTAAGGCCCAACATGGTGGGGAAGGCGTGGATATGGACAGAAGGGTCCCTGAAGGGCTTCAGACAGGACAGCGAGGAGCCAGGCTCTGGGGGTGGAGACCCACCCGGTGGCGACTCAGAGAGTTAGGTGGCATCTGCAGGAGGCGGGGTGCTGCTATCCCAGTGGAGGGAATGGAGGGGTGTCTGAGCTGTGACAGAGGTCAGAGCCAGGGGCATGCCCAGTGATTGCAGGAGGGTTCAAGGTTGGGCAGGAAGCCAAGGAATGGTCTCAGGGCATCTAGGCAGGAAGCTGAGTAACACCCCCCACACACACACACACACACAGGTGAGGGGTGCAGCAGTGCTAGGGCCATGGCCCACAGGAGGCCAGCATCGGCGGCAAGGCCACTCTCACCTCCCTGTGTGTCTGGCCTCACTCCCATGCTGCATCTCACCCACAGATCGCGGCCTTCTTTGCCGAGTCTCTGCCCAGCGTAGCAGGACAGATCGTGCCCCCTGCCGGCTACTTCTCCCAGGTGGCAGGGTGAGTGGGGGATACGGGCAAGGGCTGGACTGGACTGGGCTCTGCCAGGGGGAGCCGGGCCTCCTGGGCAGACATCCGTGAAGACAGCCCTTAGGAGAGTCTGCAGTCCAAGCTCCCAGGACTCAGAGCCCGCGCCAGGCTGACTGCTGCTTCCGTCTGTCCAATGCCACAGGCACATCCGCAAGGCCGGAGGGCTGTTTGTCGCCGACGAGATCCAGGTTGGCTTCGGCCGGGTGGGCAAGCACTTCTGGGCCTTCCAGCTGCAGGGGGAGGACTTTGTGCCCGATATCGTCACCATGGGCAAGTCTATTGGCAATGGGCATCCCATTGCCTGTGTGGTCACAACACAAGCCGTGGCAAGGGCTTTTGAGGCCACTGGCGTCGAGTACTTCAACACGGTGAGTGAGGGTACTGAGACAGGGAGTGGCTGAGTGATCACAGGCCACAGGCCTGTCCTGTGCTTCCAGCAGATGCTGCCTCGCATGCCCGGCCACGTGAGCACCGTGAGCCAGGAGCACATGTGTGCTGGTGACAGACTTAACAGCCATTACAACAGCACAGCTGCAAGGCGGAGGCACGCCCTGGCCCGGGGTGCAGAACAGGTGTGACCACAGTGAGGGAGGCAGCCCTGGGACAGCAATGACAAGGAGGGGAAGGCGCACGTTGGCCTGGAGGCCCTCGCTGATCCCAAGGCAGTGAGATGAGCTCTGTAGCATCCTTTGGGAGGAACTAAGATGGCCCATATGGAAAAGGAGCTGCCAGCAGGGAGACCAGCCTGGCTGAGACAGGAAGCCTGAGTCTGGCCCAACCCCAGGGAGGTTTAGGAGAGGACAGAGAACATACCACGTCTTCCCACAGAGCCAGTGTCAACTGGGAGGACTTGGCCACATGGATAGGGCACCAAGGGAGGGACTCTGGCTGCTGCCCTCAGCAGGCTGTCACCCCACCCAGCCAATGTGTCATGCTGTCGGGAGACACCTGGTCCCATGCAGAAGTTGGGAGAACACAGAGGACACCCAGGGGTGGGCAGAGCACTGAGCCTTGTGTGAGGTGAGGCCGGCGCAGTACACAGGAGTCAGCAGTGCAGAGGGCAAGGGGCGGTGTGTTCGGGAAGGATGAGCTGCATCATCAAGATGGATCCTGATCCTTCTGTCCCTGTAGGGTCCTCTTGGGTTTCATCAGTTACTTGGTGATTTATTTATTTGGGAGGCCAACCTTGTAGCACAGTTGGCTGAGCCTCTGCCTGCACCACTATAACCTATTTGAGCACTGGTTTGAGTCTGGGCTGCTCCACTTCCAATCCATCTCCCTGTAACATGCCTGGGAAAGCAATGGAGGACGGTCAAGTGCTTGGGCCCCTGCACGCATGTGGAAGACTCGGATGATGCTCCCGGCTCCTGGCTTCAGCGTGCTCAAGCACTGGTCATCGCAGCCTTCTGGGGCGTGATCCAGCAGATGGGAAGCTCTATCCTGTCCTCTCTCTGTAACTCTGATGTTGAAAAATAAATGTTATTTTTACTTGAATGTCAATGTTAGAAGGGGAAACAGACCTTCCATCCACTGGTTCACTCCTCCGATGGCTGCAGTGGCTAGATCTGGGCTGATCTGAAGTCAGGAGCTTCTTCCAGGGCTCTCGCTTGGGCACAGGGGCCCAAGCCTCCTACACCTCCTCGCCCCACGTGCCCAGTGGGGCACAGGATGGCAGTTACTATGGTCTGGCCTTGCCCTGTCCTAACTTATGAGAAGCAGCTAGTTCCTCATATTTATTAGCCCTGTGTCTTCTCTTCTGTGTCTTTGCCCATTTCAATTTGTTAAAAAAAAATCGAAGGCCTGCAGCAATGGCTCCGTGGCTAAATCCTCGCCTCTTTGGGTCAGTGGTTCTGTGTGTTCCTATCACGTTGTGTGATTATAACAGGTTCTCATAGCTGTCATGAAAGCTAGTTCACCTGTTTTTTGTTTGTTCAAGAGAGATCTATTCCTGGCCCTTAGTCTATCATTTAAATTTCAGAATTCTCTTTAGGCATTTTTTTTTTTCAAAAATCCCTCGCCTTGAATGTGCCAGGATCCCATATGGGTGCCAGTTCTAATCCAGGCGGCCCCGCTTCCCTTCCAGCTCCCTGCTTGTGGCCTGGGAAAGTAGTTGAGCATGATCCAAAGCCATGGGGCCCTGTACCTGTGTGGGAGACCTGGAAGAGCTCCGGGCTCCCGGCTTTGGATTGGTGCAGTACCAGCCTTTGCGGTCACTTGGGGAGTGAATGATCCGACAGATCTCTCTGTCTCTCCTCCTCTCCGTATATCTGACTTTGCAATAAAAATAATCTTAAAAAAAAAAAAACACAAATAAATACTCAAGAGCTCTGAGGTCCTTCTTAAAAATTTGAAAGGTAGATTTATAGAAAAATTCTCCATTTGCTCGTTTATTCACCAGATGGCCACAAGGGATAGAGCTGAGCCAATCCAAAGCCAGGAACCAGGAGCTTCGTCTGGGTCTCCCAAGGACTTGAATCATCCTCTGCTATTTTCCCAGACAGAAGTGGAACAGCCCAGACACAAACCAGCACCCGCATGGTGAAGGTTCAGCATGCTAAGTGGCCATGCCATCTCTCTTATAGTCCCACTTATGAGGGCCATACCCTCATGACTTAGTGCCACCCTTTCCACCATCTTGGCAGGGTGGTGGGGATCCCACTGTGTGCATTTTGGGGAGACATAATGTGGCCAGTTACACACCACTCTTACGGCTTGCACTTCCTCATTTCGGGACCCAGTGGGTGTTTGTGGTTTGCAGATGGTGGTGGGGGGAAGGGAGATGCAGTTTTAGCCACAGGTTTTGAGGCTGGCTTCACTTCATTTCTCTCATCCCCAGTGACACATCATGTGCTTCCGTTTCATTTGTGGGCTCAGGTCTGCCGCCTGGCCCCTGGAGACGCTTGTTCATTCCGTTTCTCTTGGGGGTTGGGGTCTTTTTGTTTACATCATGTCCTTACTGGCAGTTTCTACTTCAGTAAGATTTCATACTCTAACAAGGCCAATGCCTGGAACGCCTCAGGGACAGTCTGCATTAGTTGCGTTTGTTCCCTGTGTGGGGCCAGGCTTCACTCTGTAGAACACTGGACAGTTAAGTCATGTGACGTAGCAGCCTCAGTCAGTTTCCGCTCCCAGCAGGCTTTGTCACTGCTTTCTGGCTGGCTAGCTAGCGCTTTTTCTATAGTTCGTCACTTTTACTCAAAAGGCAGAGCCAGTGGTTTTCCATCTGCTGCTTTTCTTCCCAAATGCCCACAACACCTAAGGCTGCGTCAAGCCGACACCAGGAGTCAGCTCCATCCAGGTCTCCTGTGTGGGTGGCAAGCACCCTAGGCCCCCAAGACGTGGGAGTCCGCCAAATGCCCACCACTGAAATCCACACGAGATGCCAAGTATGGCCATTACAGTGTCTGCTTCTCTACTTTATTGCTAATATATAAACTGCAGAGATGACCCTGAATACCTAAACTGAACAGTCCCTGGGCTAGGCACTGCCAAGAGCTTCGCCATTGCCTTTCACCAGCCTGAGTGTTCAAAGAGCTGATGGTAATTTCTGCCAAGGTTGCTGCTTTCACGGAGGCGTCTGACAGTGGGCAGGTCTTAGCCTGTCATTTCTATGTCATCTTGAAATTGACAGTACAGGTCAATTTCAAAAGGCTTGGGCCAGAGGAAACGGGCACCATGAGCTATGCAGCTCTCTTACGCCACTTACAGGATGGCCTGGAGATAAAACCAGTCCCTGCGGGGACAAGCCAGTGGTTGCCTGGCACCTGTCACTGGGGAGGGGTGCCTTGTGATGCTCAGAGAACCACAGGAGTGGTGGACTGTGAGGGAAGTTCCCACAAACTTGTATTTGTCACATCACACTGAACTTACACTTCAACATACACGGTTTATTGTGTATAAATTACACAATAAACACATTTTGAACCATAAAAGGGGTGGGGGGGGGGTTGCTGCAAAGCACCTTGCACCTGCTTTGTGCCTGCAGGTAGATTCAGATCCCCATTAGGAATGGGGCAGGGGGAGGGGTCAGAGTATTCAGTTGTTTTATTCAGTAAAACCTGTGTGCTACAAGTTTCTCATTTTGAAATGTTGGCACCTCATTCCAAACTAAGATTTTTATTTGAAAAGGAGCTTTACAGCTTGATGTAGAAAGATTTTCCACTTACTGGCTCACTCCCCAGCCAGCCACAACAGCCAGAGCTGGGCAGTCCGAAACCTGGGGCTTCTGCTGCTTTCCCAGGCCGTAGGCAGGAAACTGAAATGGATCTAGAACAGCCAGGACACAAACCAGCAGCCACGTAGGATGTTGGCGCCACAGGGCAGATTAGCCACCAACTTGTACCAGTGCTGTGCCCAGCCTGCAGGCTGGATACAGCTCACAAGCCGCCAGCTTTTCTTGCACCTCCCACCTGCCAGTTGCTCCTCTCAGTAGTTATCACTAGCACCCACCCTGCACAGCACCTCCTGACCTCTGGTGGATGCCCAACCAGGAAGGTCAATACTGACTACCAGGAGCCCCAGGGAACTGGGGACCTGGACTCCTCACTGCAGACCTGCAGTGGCTCTGCTGCCCTTGGCCCCACAAAGACACCCCTGTGGCTCACTTGTTCTTTGTCTACATCTCAGTTTGGGGGCAGCCCAGTGTCCTGTGCCGTGGGGCTGGCTGTCCTAGAAGTCTTGGAGAAGGAGCAGCTCCAGGCCCACGCCACTTGTGTGGGAAGCTTCTTGATGGACCTCCTCAGGCAGCAGCAAGCCAAACATGCCATCATTGGAGATGTCAGGTGAGGCACTTGGCAACCAAGCACCTGCCAGGAAGCTTTTTCCATTTTGCCAAGCTCCATAGCTTGCATAGCAATGGGGGAAGATTATGGCACCCAGCCTTTCCCGTCACACCATGGACCCCTCTCTGTTAACATTTTCCCCAGCCTCCCAAGGATGTCGGTAATGCTATTGCTTTCTGAGCTGTCCCCTTCCCTAGGGGTGCTGGGCTTTTCATTGGCGTGGATCTCATCAAAGATAAGGCCACACGGACACCAGCAACGGAAGAGGCAGACTACTTGGTATCCAGGTACTTTTCCCAACAAGGTTGGCCTCTGGGACAGGAACCCCAAAGTGGGGAGTCACCTCTCCCCTCCCACCCATCCACACTCTGGGTCCCCTGCACGTGAAGGGATCATAGCCCTCAAAGGCAAAGGCTTCTGAAGACGTTGCTGGCAAGCTTGGCTGGGGCTCAGACCTGGACAGCCAATACTGGTTTCAGAGCCACAGAAGCTCCATGCTGGGAGCTGTCCTGTGTGGTAGAGGAGCCCACCTTCCCCAGCTGGGGCTTGCTCGGCTTGGTATTCACGTTTCAAAGGCAGAGCTGCAGCTCTAGTTCACTCCAACAGCAGCTGAGGCCAGGAAGTCCACACAGCAGCCGTTCCCTGCTGCCTCCCATTGCACAGCAGGAAAACTAGAACTGCAAACTGCTGGCCGTGTTGTATCCTTTCAGCACAGGCCACTGACTCCCACCTCCAGCGCAAAGCCCTTATTTAGATTCCCTGTCACCTCCCCAGCTCAGCTGGCCCTCCAGGGAACAGGAAGACTCATTTCACAATGCCATGAAATCTTTGCTCCAGCTCAGGGAGTCACCCAGGGTAGAGTGGACCTGGCTCCAAAGTCCAAACCTTGTTCTGACACTGCTCTCCTTGGCAGTAACAGAGCAAGATGGGGGAGACAGAAGGGACTAAGTTAACAGCCAATACTACTAAAAATGATTCTTGGGTACAAAGGAGATTAGTGTTATCAGGGTTCTTTGAACTGGCCATTAAAAGGACTGCCCCGAGACAGCCCAGGGGCAGGACTAGGTGTTATAGATCACACTCCACTACTGGCCGTGGTGTTGCTTCCAGAGCACTGCAGCCCAGTGAAGCCTCCGGCCAGGTGTACAGGGAGGGAAGGGCACTGACAGGCCGTGGTCCTACTGACAGGCTCAAGGAGAACCACATACTGTTGAGCACAGATGGCCCTGGAAAGAATGTCTTGAAGTTCAAGCCCCCGATGTGCTTTAGCTTGGATAACGCGCAGCACCTGGTAGCAAAGCTGGATGCCATCCTGACAGGTGAGTTGGGAGCCGGAGCAGCTGACGTGCCCTCTAGTAGCTAGTCGCAGAGCATGTGCCTGGGGGGTAGCCAAAGACCCAGCAGCCAAGCAGGCAGCAGCAAGGCATTCCTGAGCCAAGCACCACCTGGCCTGCTTGAGCAATCCACTGCTGACACACAGCTACCGCGGCAGCCAAGGATGGCGTCGGGAGCTGCGTTCTACAGTGTCAACTCAGGTTTTCAGAACAGCTGAAATAAAATCTACGACAAGAGTGATTCCTAATCACCTGGGAAGGTGAGGGCCAGCCCAGAGCCGCCCCAAATCCACTTATGTGGTGGGGGTGTGATGGGGAGGGAGTGTTTGAGAGGAGCTATGGAGAGGGAAGGCAGATGCCACAGACACCATTCTGGGGGTGCCAGGCAGAGCAGAGAACGGCTGGGAAGCCCGATGGCAGCCTCTGTGCTCTCAGGGAATTGTTGCCCATCTCTGAGTAAAAGGCAGGGCATGGCGTGGCTGGGCTGGTGGGCTCAAGCTCCAAGTCAGGTGAGCAGCCTGGATGCTGAAGGCAGAGGAAGGCGACCAAGCCAGATGGCTTCTGCGACCTCTGTTGCAGATATGGAAGAGACGCTGAGAAGCTGCGAGTCGCTGAGGCTCTAGGCAAGCCAGCCTCACCAGGCGGATTCCTCCAGGTGAGCAGCCTTGCTGGAAGCATCCCTCCCCACCTGCTGAGCATCTCAGCCAGCACGGGCATTTCCATTCTGAGCCTTGGCCCTTCCCAGCTTTGCTTCTTCCACACTGGGAGGTTTCAGCTTCACTGGACATTGTCCGCACCCCCACCAGGAAATCTCCCACCACACTCAAGTCTGCATTTTGCCAATGGGACAAAAGGGCAGGAGCAGCCACTTCCTTCCTCGGCAACTCCGAGGAGCGGGTGAAGCAGTGTCCATGTGGGCCGTGTCAAGCCTTCACTACCAGACTTGGGACACTCCAGTCTCCCTGCAAGTAGGCTCTTCGTGCCACCAGTTTTAGGGGAGGGGGTGTCATGTAACGGAACCTGCCCAGGTTCAGCTGGGCCCTGTCACTGGGACAGGGCAATCTCACTTTCACTTACTCTTCCCCCTCCAGCAGCTGCCTTCTAGGAGCCATTTCCTTCTTAAGGGGACTCATGCCCCAGGCAGCGCAATCATCAAAGGAAACCAGCCAAGGATGTGGAGTATGTAGCTGTGCCTGACATGTCATTAGATCAGATATAAACTCAGAATTTCAAAATATAAACTCCAAAAGTTCAAAAAGGTCAGAGTGGCCAGGGCCTTCCAAGCTGCACCCCAAAACCGGGCTTGACAGCTGAAGAGGCTTGCTGTGGGAGGAGACCCCAGTCCCACAGCACCTGGCACCCCCCAACTTTGGGCACACAGCATATCCCACACTCACCCAGGCTTGGGGGTTTTTCAATTTTTATTTCAAAAGCTTGGATAGCTTCAATATCCAGGTCGTGGCAAAATCAGGACACGTGTAAAATACCTTACAATACATTAGATTCCCAAAAGGTACCAAAAAGTACAGTAAAATTAACACTTCCGTTACAGGAAATGTATGACACAAATAATATAAAATTAAAAGGTGAAAAAAAAGGTGACACTGGTTTCCTAAGATACAGTTTACTCTTTACAACCAGGGTCCACAGGGCCAGGCTGCAGAGCGGCAGCGGGAAGCAGACCCTCCAATCTGGTTCTGGGTAACCTGGTAATAAAATCAGCCCGTAATGCCACCCTGGCCTGAGACACCACACGCTGCCTAAAACAACTAGCGCTCTGGAAATAGTAAACGGGAGAGTGATTTCCAGGGGGAAATTTTAAATAAGATGCACATGGGACAGGCCATAGAAAGTTTGCCAAGTTAAATTTGGTACATAATTGCGTTCACTCCGTATCCAAACCCAGCGTGTGCAGGCGTCGGCCGCTCCCGCCGCGCCCTCAGTACGGCTTGTAGTTATTCTGGTGGCCACCGCGTCGCTGGCTCTTCCCGTAATTTGCACTACCCTGACCTAGGGACGAGAACAACGGTAGCAGCTACTACTTACTCCACATTCCTCCTGTGCCAGGCGCCTGCCCCGTGTCCTCACAGGACCCTCACACCTAACGCAGTAGCTAGCACCTTCCCCACCTCTCCGAGGCCAGTTGAGCTCCACCTCCGTAACGGGGAGCTCCAGCGGCCGAACCAGGCCTGTCTGACTCCAAAGTTCCTGCTGCCAAGCGGGCCCTGCACTGTCTGTCCTGCCAGCCCTGGGGGTGAGTGGACGGGCCTCCCTCTCTCCTACTTACTGTAGTCGTAGCCGGGGCCGTAGCCGTAATAGCCATAGGGCGAGTAGTCGTAGCCGCCAAAGCCGGGCCCGTAGCCCTGCTGGTAGCCGTAGCCCTGGTTCCAGTAGTTGCCGTAGCCCTGATTCCAACTCTGACTCTGACCTGTGGGGGGAGCAGGGCACAGGGGCCCATGGACCGTTTAGCACACGCAGGAGCTAGGATGGAGGAGATCCTGCCCTTTGGGTGGCGGGGTTACTATGGCAACTCAGGCAGAAGCCAAGGTGCTGCTGTTGTGGTAGAGGGCGCTCTGGGCCTGGCCCTGCATCTGAGAAACCCAAGCCGCTGGATGCTGACCTCACGTGGGGGCCTAGCTGCTGGCTCACTCACAAATTCCCCGGACTGCCCCCACCCTCCCTGGCAGTCTGGCCCTTAAATACAGATGCAGTTCAGGATTTGGAGTCAGAGGGGCCTGGGATAGAAGGAAGTAAGCGCCTGGCACAGCTTGGCCCTACCCTTCTGCCCACCTGCCCATGGGTGTGCCAAGTCACGGGACACCCACCGAGCAAAGCACATCCAGTCATGTCCCTTCTCCCACCCACAGTGCGAGTACGAATGCTCCCTCTGCCCCGGGGCCCAAGCCAGTGTGTGTGCCCAGGGGGGCGGCAGCACAGCCTCAAGCAGCCTGGACCCAGAGAGCCATTCCTGCGTCTGCCCGCCCGTGCTCGCTGCACAGCACAACCCAAGGCCAGAGGGAGCCCCCAGAAGACAGCTCCATGCAGGCAGGGACAAGGGACACATCTTCGTCCAGGTTCCACTCACCTCCACCTCCACCGCCGCCACCACTGCCTCGGCTGCCCCGGCTGCGGTTCCCGCGGCCCCCAGAGCCATACTGCTGCTGCTGATAAACCTCTTTGGGCTGGGCCACCTTGATTTCACACTAGAGAGCCAAGAGGGCAATGGGTCAGGGATGAGCAAAGGCACAAGTGAGCACACGGGCCTTCAGAGGACATCCGGGCAGGAGACTGCACCCAGCCTGCATGTTCCTGAACACACTTCAAAGCAAGAGACTTTCTGAAGAGAATCCCAGGATCACTGGGGCCGCATTTTAACCCCAGGGCAGCCCCTTCTGGAACAACTAGGAGAGCAGGATAACAAGTTTGGGAGAAATGATGGCCAGCAAGGGCGGGCGCAGATGTGAGGGCCTGGCAGTGCCTTGGCCCTTCAAAGCCAGGGTCCAAGACTTGCAAGCGGGGCCCTTAGAAACTAAGGGCATTTTTTTTTTCTTTTTGCAGAAAAACAGTGGCTCCTACGCTAATATTCTTGAGAAGACATAACCCTGATCTCCCACACTGCTGAAGTGAGCTCTGGGGCGGAGTGGGCTGCCCACCCTTCTCTTTTCTGTTGGGACAGGCCAGAAAGTGTTACCTTAGGACCTTAAGAGTCCATCACCTTTATGAGCAGCCCCACCGGGTGTGGGGTGGCTTGGTGCTCCTTGTTAAGCAAACATGTGTAAGTCTCTGACACACACACTCACAAAAATAAGACAACCAAGCCCAGCACAGCAGCTTAGTGGTAAAGCCCTCGCCTTGCATGCGCCATGTCCCAGCAGCCCCACTTCCCATCCAGTTCCCCGCCTGTGGCGTCAGAAAGGAAGAGGATGGGCCAAAGCCTTGGGACCCTGCCTCTGCGTGGGAGGCCTGGAAGAGGGTCCACACTCCTGTTCGGCTCCTATTAGTGGACAGAGGGTCTTCCTCTATGTCTGACCTTCCAATAAATGAATCTTTAAAATAAATAAACCAACCAGATTTACACACTGTCCATCAACATGCTTGTAATTGACGAAATATCTGTCAAATGCTGCTATCCGTTTCTACCCTACTGCATACAGGTGGGGGTTGTCAAAGAAATGGAAGCCTTGCCCAGCAAACAATCAACTGAAATAATGTGTGGTCCTCCATAAAAATGTTTGAAAATATTGATCAAGATTTTTAACGTGCAAATATTTTGGGCAAACAACCAGAATAAAATCAACTAGACACACAGATTCTCAGACCTCCTGGCAGCAGCTCAGCTAAATGGTGTCCTGCAACGTTCCTACCTGTGTCATATCGCGGAGAGCAGGGCTTCTGCACCACCACTAGCCAGCTCAACAGCCTCACTACAAGCCCTCCTCCCACCTTCCAGAGCCCGCCCTGCCTGCCTCACCTTATCCAGCCCTACCTGCCTCACCTTACCGGGCAGCCACTGCTGCTTACTTGCTGCTTACAGCGCCCGCCTGGCACACCCTGCTAGAGCCACACCCTCAACTCCCAACTGCCACCTGAAGCCTCGCCCCTTGACTCCTAGAGGAACCCTCCACCCCTCACCTCCAGGGGTGGGTCGGCTAACCCATCCTGGCAGCTCTGCCAAGGGTCTTGGCCAGTGGTAAATGCTAACTATAGCAGGGCCAGACCCAGACAGAACAGAAGCAGGCAAAGATTTGGTAACAGAAGGAGAGTTCTAGAGCAGGGAAAGCTTTCACCAGAGGAAGATCACCGAGTTTGAAAAGTTTTAAGAGTTTTCTAAGACCTCAACTTCAGAAGCACCACACACTGTCACCTTCAGCTTTCAACTGGGTATGCCAAAGAGGCCCCTCTCCTGGCCTCCCTGAGGGCCCTGCCAGGACACAGCCATCACCCCTGTGGAACCTAACCCAAGGGCTCTCGGGAAAAGTCCAACCCTTAACTCAAACACCTGCTCTCCAGGCAGGAGGCCAAGCACGACAAACCTGAAGGCACCTTACCTTGCTCCCACTGATGGTATGAAATTTTTTCTCCAGAACCTTCTTCACGGGGTCTTCTTCTTTGAAGGTGATGAAAACAAAACCCCTCCTTTTGTTGGACTTTGGGTCCATTGGCAGCTCGATGGCCTCGATCTGTGAGAAACACGCAGAGCGGCTCACCCTCCCCTCCCAGGCCGAGGCCCTGGTAGGCAGGGGGCCAGAAGAAGAGGGGGGCCCTGTGGGTTCACACTCACCTCCCCAAACTCGCCAAAGTACTCCCTGATCTTCTCCTCGGTCGCTTCGGGGTTCAGACCCCCTACAAAGATCTTCTTCACTGGGTCCTTCTTCATAGCCATGGCCTTCTTGGGATCAATGACACGGCCATCCAGCCTGTGCTCCTTCTGGTCTAGAACCTGTTCCAACAGAAAGAGGTCAGGTCCTACCTGAGCAGCGGACCTGGGACAAGCCCGCTCCAGCAGAGGGCCACAAACTGACCCCAGACTGACTAACACACTTGTCCACCTCTCCCACGCAGTGGGCTGACCTCAATTCTTAACATCAGTCCTCACTCTTCTCGGCCCAAGCTGCGTTGTCAGCCCCCCCCCACCCCAGCCAGGGGTCCCAGTTCCAGGCCCATGTCCTGCATCAAGGAATCTGGACTACAGAAGTGGCAGGATCCAATAACCCGAGCTCTACCCCCTTGGCAGCTCTTCTGCTCAAATTCTCAAGTCTTACTTCCTTGAAAACTCAACACACGCCTCCACAGCCATCCTGTGCCCTTAGTCCCTGCGACAGTGGTGAGCACCGCGCCCAACACTCACATCGAATCAGGCATCAGGACTGCTCCCCGAGGCGCCGGGACACCCCCTCCTCCTTGCCCAGACTGCTGCTACGTCAAGTCCCTGCCCTCTGCACCACAGAGCATGCACACAGCACCCGGCCTACCTTCTCCACACTGGCTGCGTCTTTGAAGAGGATAAACCCAAATCCTCTTGACCGTCCAGTGTTGGGGTCCATCTTTATTGTGCAATCCACGACCTCCCCAAACTTAGTAAAATAGTCTTTTAAATCTTTTTTGCTGGTATCCCAGCTCAGACCGCCAACGAACATTTTCCTAGAATCGCAGGGCGAGATACAGAGCAGCAAACCTCATTAAGTAAGCCTTGATCTTTCTTCTTCAAAGGGACGGCCGGTCCTGGGCTAAGCTTCCACGCAGAGCGGGACCCCAAAGCCCCCACCGCTAGCGCCAAGTGCACGCAGCTCGGCCCTCCGGGGGTGCCGGGGCTCCCCGTTAGCTAGCTCTCCCGCTCGCCCCGGCCCGGCGATCGCGCCCCGCCCGCCGCCCGCCGCCCCGGCTTCCTGGGTTCGGCCCGCAGCTCCGCCCCCGCGGGAGGCGGGAGGGAGGCCGGCCGGGCGCGCGCCAACTCCGCCCCCGCAGCCGCCGCGGCCTGCGCCCCTGCGCCCCTGCGCCCCGCGCCGCCCGGGCCCCAGCGCCCCGCTTCCGGCCGCCCCGGGGCGGCGCCCCCCGTCCACCAGCCCGGGGGGCCCCCGCCGGCCCGCCGCTCCCCTCCCCCCGGCCGCGTGGCGCCAACAAAAGGCGGCCCCGGAACAAAGGCCGCGGGGCCCGGCCGCACCTACCCCGCGTCCTCCTCGTTCTTGCTGGCGTTGATCTGGTCGCCCTCGGCGCCGTTCTGGTTCCCGCTCGGCGGCGCGGCGGGTCCTCCTCCTCCTCCTCCTCCCCCGGTGCCCGCCGCGGCCCCACCGCCACCGCCGCTGCCGCCGCTACCGGTCCCGGGCCCGGCGGGAGACTCGCCCTCCGGGGCGGCCTCGTGTCCGTTCTCCGTGGCGCCCGTCGTCTCCATGGGCTGCTCCTCGCTCGCCTCCGACATGTCGGACCGATCCGCCGCCGGCGGCTCCTGCAACGAGCGAGCCCCCCGCCCCCCGCCACGGCGGCCGCCGCGAGTCAGGCCCGGGCCAGGCTTTCCCGCCCGCGGCCCGCCCGGCCCGGCCTCCCGCCCGCGGCCCAGCCGCTCACCTCGCCGCCGATGACGCCGCGAGGCCCGCTCGTCCCCACCGGCCGGGGAAGACGCCGCGCTCGGGCTCGCGCTGCCGCGGGGGGGGCCTGGCCTGCGCCCGCCGACCGAGCAGCAGCAGCCGCGTTCGCTCGGACGCCGCCGCAGAGAGCCCACCGACGCACGACACGGACCCGGCCCGCGAGGTGCCGCCGCCTGACAATGCCGACTCGTGGCGCCCTTTATAATGCCGGAGCCGGAGCCACCTCCCAATAAGGCGTGCGCCCGTTGGCTACGCCCGCCCGCCACTCAGCCCCTCGGCGCACGCTCATTGGCCGAGGCCGCGCGCGCGCTCTAGAGCCGGGCGGGCTTTGTCCTCGTTTTAGAAGCCGCGCGAGTCCGGGCGCTGCGGAGGGGTCCGGGTGGCGGGGCGGCGCGGCGGCCGAGCTCGGTGGCGGGCAGGCCCGAGCGGGCGCCGGGCTCTTTGTGAGGCGGCCTTCCTCCTCCTCCTGCTCCTCCTCCTCCGCCGCCGCCGCCGTCGTCATCGTGGTGCCCCGAGCCTTGGCAGCCATTATGCCTTCCCCCGCCCCCATTTCCCGAAAGATGAAACCGGGGCTGAGGAAGTCTCAGCCAAGGTCGCCCGGATGAAGGCGGCCCTGCCCGATTGGGCGCGGGGAGCCGGGGAGGCCCCGGGAGGCGAACCCGCCCTTTGTGCCCCGCCGGCCCGCTGCTGCCGAGGGTCCGTCGGGCGCCATGAGGGCCGGCCCCGGCCCGGAGCTCCCCGGGCGGGCTGGCGGGCGGCCGGCACCACCTCGATCCACATCGCCTTTACGCTTTTGTTTACTTTAAAGAAAAAAAAAAGTGTGTGTGCCTTTTGACTCATTTTTGCAGTTTCTTGTTTTCACGAAAATTCTTTTCACACCCATGGAAATCCGTTGGTGGGGGGAGGGGAGCAGGTTCTTGTCTCTAGTACACAAAATGGTCGTACTATTTCCAGGAGCTCCTTCACCGCCGAGCTTCAAAGGCCGGACTAATCCCGCGGTTCTCTTCATCACACGGTGACGCCCACAAACGGGCCAGGAGGGCCAGGACCGGACCTGGGGCGGATCACCGCGGGACTGCGGGGTCGTCCCTACAAACCCCAGGGTGGGTGACACCGAAATGGGAGGCCCAGACCGGTAGGCTAATTTTCATCCAGGCGATGGGATTGTCCTAAGGATGGAAAAATGTCACAATTCCACGTTGCTAATGTTGACTTAAGGTTTCTGTGGAAACATCTGAAGAGTTGGCCTCACCCCTAGAGAGGCAGAAGCCCTCTGCTTCACACCAAGACCCCGTGGAGCCTCTTGGCTCCCCGCCCCCGCACTGGAATCCACGGGGCTGCACGCAGACTTGGGCTGTAGAAATCTGGCAGTAAGTTTCACTGGCATAAACAAACTGCCTTCTCCAACTCCCTCCCGAGGCCTCCCCTCTGTGTCCAAAAAACAGCACAGCTGTCTGGAAAGAAGATCATTGAGGAAGTTAAGTTCAAAGACCTACAGTGTAAGTGCGGTCCTGGGCTAGAGCTACTGAGAGCATAAATTCACTTAATTTTCCACAGCAGCCTTGCAGTGTGCAAGCCAGCCACCGAGGTTGCTTTACTGGGGCTTCCCACATTCCAGGCACGCGAATGTTGAAAATCACGTGGCTGAAATTACGGAAACAAAGCCAGTAAATTCCAACTGCATGGCCAGGGTTGTTGCCAGGGTTATTATTATTTTATTATAACATTTGTTTATTGGAAAGGCAGACGCGCAGAGAAGGAAACGCAAAGAGGTCTTCCATCTGCTGGTTCACTTCCCAAAAGGTGGCAGGGGCGTGTCTCCCATAGCAGCAGGCCTCAAGTATTTGGTCCCTCTCCTTCTGCTTTCCCGGGCAAATGATTAGCAGGGAGCTGGATCAGAAGTGGAGCAGCTGGAAGTCCAACCAGCACCCATGTGGAATCCTGGTGCCACAAGCGGAGGTTTCACTGCTAGTTCATGCTTCCCAAGAGTGTATAATTGCTAAAGTAAAAGGTATTTGTAAGTTTCCGAGTTCTTGGCCTAAGTTAAATTTCATATTAGATTCAGTTATTCTGATGTTCAAATGAAACAATGGCTTACAAAATAAAAGCTAGGGCCCGGCGCAGTGGCACAGTGGTTAAGGTCCTCGCCTTGCACACCCGGGATCCCATATGGGTGCCGGTTCTAATCCCGGCAGCCCCGCTTCCCATCCAGCTCCCTGCCTGTGGCCTGGGAAAGCAGTCCAGGACGGCCCAAAGCTTTGGGACCCTGCACCCGCGTGGGAGACCCAGAAGAGGCTCCTGGCTTCGGATCGGCATAGCATCAGCATCGGCCGTTGCGCTCACTTGGGGAGTGAATCACCGGACAGAAGATCTTCCTCTCTGTCTCTCCTCTCTGTATATCCGCCTTTCCAATAAAAAAAAAAAAAAGAAAAGAAAAGCTAAGAATGTGCCTTGGCATAGCATCACAGCTGCTGCTTGCGAAGCTACTTTCCACAGCAGAGTGCCACTTAGAGTGACAGCTACTCTGCTTCCTTTTTTATTTTTTTAAGGTTTATTTATTTTTATTGGAAAGTCAGATATAAGAAAGGAGAAGAGAAAGATCTTCCATCTACTGGTTCACTTCCCAAGTGGCCACAGTGGCCAGAGCTGAGCCAATCCGAAGCCAGGAGCCAGGAGTTTCCTCTGGGTCTCCCACACAGGTGCAGGATCCCAAGGCTTTGGGCCATCCTTGACTGCCTTCCCAGGCCACAAGCAGGAAGCTAGATGGGAAGTGGAGCAGCCAGAATTAGAACCGATGCCTGTATGGGATCCCGGTGCGTGCAAAGTGAGAACTTTAGCCACTAGGCTACCACACCCATGCCCCAGCTACTCTGCTTCTAACCCAATTTCCCAATGCTGCATCTGGGAGGGCAGGGAGAATACGGGCCAAGCATCGGAGCCCCTGCCACCCGCAGGGGAGACCCTGTTGGAGTTCCAGCTGCTGTCTTCCACCTGGCCCCATTCTGGCAATTGCACCATTTGGGGAATGAAACAGCCTATAGAAGGTCTGCCTCGCTTTCTCTCCCCTTTTTGTCATTCTGACTTTCAAACACTTCTTTCTCTCTTTTTTTAAATTTTGTTTTTGGTGATGTTTACATAATTGATTAGGGCGGGAATGATCAAGGATTAGGAGAAAGTGGGTGAGACCATTGTTTCCAAATTTTCTTTTTCTTCTTCTTGTGTCTGGGGGAAGTGGAGAGATAAGGGAAGAAGCCACACCCAGCCTCCCAACTACCTCAGTACCTGTGGCTAGGGAATGGCCACCGAAGTCATCCCAGGGTCCCGGATGCGCAGCATGAGCTGAGGGATCTGCTCAAGTGGTTTTGATAGTTCTGAAATGCTGTTCCAAGGATCAGGAAAACTCCAAGATCCGTTGGCTGACATTGGTTGACAGTCTCTATTCACCCAGACATTGGCTGTCAACACTTGCCTGGGCGGGGAGGGAGTAGTTGACCAATTTGTTCTGCCCTCCTTCCTCTGCTGATACCAGATGTCCTCTGTAGGTGCCAATGGACTGCCATATCTTCCATGTGCATCTAGGTATGCCATCTATTGCTCCGTCTCATCCACCAAGGAAGCCCAGTTCTGACACATGCACTCTGCAGTCAGCCCACAGATCTTATGATTTTCCCCATGGTTGGAGTTCTGAGTCCAGAGGTTCAGTCGGGGGATCCCCAAGGAAACTTTGTCTGAGGTGATCCCAGACCTGACACTTGGTTTGTGTTTGCCAGTGTGGGGTCCGGCTCAGTCCATCTCCCACATCAACCTATGCGCGCATAAACTACCAAGTTCCAACTGCTGGGTCAGTTCCATAAGCAATCCTATCTCTTACTCAGCCCTCACCAGTGAGGGGTGCAGCCTAATATGAGTGACCCCAATGATCCCCACTAGGTTTGCCCCCTGTCCTGGGTCCTGTGCTTGCCAGTATGTACAACAGACTGGTCCAGGCTGTCCACATCCCATTCAGCTCTCTTACACATCAATGAGTATTAAAACCTAGCTCAACCCAACTAACCCCACTATGCAGCCCACACTCATGCCAGCAGGTGCCACCACTTGTCTAGCCAGGTCTGCACCCAGCCCTGGTCCTCAGGTCCATCAGTGGAAGTTACAGCCCGTCAGAGGGGTGCCCACAGTTTCCCCACTGGACCCGTTCCAGTCCCGTATCTTGCACTGTCCAGGTGGAATTTGCAGTTTAGCTTGACAAGACTTGCCCCCCCAGTCCCAGCACTAGCTCTTCTCTCTCTCTCTCAATCTCGCTCACTCTCTCTCTTTCTTGTTCTCTTTCTCTTTTTAATATTCAATCTCCACTATGAAAGAAGACATACAAAAAACGCTTTTTAGTAGATTTTTAAAATTCAAGAATGATTTTTTTTTTCACATTCTTCTGTGTTTTACCTTCTTGGCTGAGTCTGTATAGCGAAGTTGTGTGGGTTAACTGCGAATATACCCGACCAATGGCCAGTCCCTCCTCCAGCCATTTCGCGCACTCAGCCAGGCCAACACTGGCTGCAACTGGAGGAATCTTCTGAAACACAACATGGATCTTGCCACTGCTTTGTGAAAACCCTGGCTACCCAGTCTTGAGGATAAAGTCCTCACCCTGACTTTGGGTGGATCTAAGTGAAAGAGCCAGTTGGGGATCCCGGGAACACGTGCCCACAGGTGCCAGCCTGCCCTCTGTGTATTCTGGGTGTAGAAGGACCTCATCAAGGCTTGGCTCAGAGAGGACAGAGCTGCTCCAGCTCACTTCCCCAGGGTGCCATGTGTTCTGCCACCTTCTGGATAAGGCTTGTTCACCTGTCATCTTGATTGTAGCTCTCATTTGATTGGTTCTTCTCTGTTTTTTTATTTGTTTAGATTTATTTTATTTTTGTTGGAGAGGCACATTTACACAGAGAGAAAGATCTTCCACTCACTGGCTTGCTCCCTAAGTGGCCACAGTGGACCTTGCCGGAGTCCAGCTCCAGCTGAGTTCGGAACTCGCGAAGGGTGCGTGGATGAGGCGCAAAGAAAGAAAGAGACGGACCACTAGGGACTCTTGACCATCGTGGACGACGCACAAAAGCTGTCCGCTTTATTTATACAAAATCAAACTCTGGCTCAGGCTTTTTACATCACGCT